CTGAGACGGCCCCGGTGAGGTTGAATTGGCCCTGGTAAGGCTGGGACGACACTGGTGAGGCCGCGACGGCACCGGTGAGGCCACGACGGCCCCGGTGAGGCTGAGACGGCCCCAGTGAGGTTGAATTTGCCCCGGTGAGGTTGGGACGGCCCCGGTGAGGCCGAGACGGCCCTGGTGAGGTCGTGATGGCACCAGTGAGGCCGCGACGGCACCGGTGAGGCCAGGACTGCCCCGGTGAGGCCAGGACTGCCCCGGTGAGGCAGAGACGGCCTGGGTGAGGCCGGGACGGCCCCTGTGAGAATGAGACGGTCTCTGGGAAGCTGAGAAAAATACCACATGAACTCACTCATTTATGGATTATAAGGACTATTATAGACTGATGAACAAAAATGGATACAGAGCAGAGCAGCATATAAGCAATCTGTTAAAACTACAAAGGAAGCCTGAGGGAGGTTTTGGGGGGGGGTAGGAGACTAACGATGGACTTTATACGCGTGCATATGAGAATAACCAAGGGCCCAAGCCCCTCGGGGGGTGGGGGAGGCAGGGGGAATGTCAAGGAGGGGGGGAAGGAGACATGTGTAATACTCTTTGTAATACTTTAAGAAATAAAAAAAAAAACCTGACTCTGTGAGCTTCTTGGAGAAGTGGTTGATTTCAGGGCTAGGGCAGGGAAAATAGAAAATGAACCTGGAGAGCCACCTGTGCCACCTCCTGATGCGAGTGCTTCTGTGTGGTGCTCTTGCCAGGTGCTCTTGTTGTGACTACTGGCACTGTGCTCAGTCAATGTGCAACTTCTCAGTAAAGAACATTGACGGGCCGCATGGTTAACCTTGGCAAATACTGGGGCTTCCTGTGCATCGTCACCAATGTGGCCTCACAATGAGGCAAAACAGATAAAACAGATGTAAACTTTACTCAGCTTGTCGACCTGCCCACCTGATAAGCTGAGGGCACCTTACTGATCCTGGCTTTCCCTGGTAACTAGTTTGGGAAGCAGGAGCCAGGGACTAATGCTGAGATCAAAGAGTTCCCTCCTGTTTGACATGTATAGCAAGATCTGTGTGAACTGAGATGAGGCCCACTCTCTGTGGAAGTGGATGAAAGTCCAGCCCAAGGGGAGGGGCATCCTGGGAAATGCCATCAAATGGAACTTCACCAAGTGTCTCATTGACAAGAATGGTTGTGTGGTGAATCGGTACAGAGGCATTCCCACTGGAATACCATAGTAATAATTACTGTGGGCAAGATTAAGATCCATTTGGTGAATGTTAAAATTAGTGAGCAAAAGTTTGGGAAGATGCAGCACATTTATATTGTCTCAAAGTATCTCTTCAAGATATTTACACAGTAATAAAAATATATAATAATACATAAAATGATAAATAAAACAGTAAGCTTATGGTAGAGAAACTGGAGATCACTGTAACCAAGTGATGAAGGTTAACATTTCAAAGATTAAGACATGTTCCCCCTGTTAAAGTTGCACCCAAGAGAGAGACACATCGATTCTGTGGTAGTCGTGCCAAAAATGCATGACCTGAATCTAGTGAAAAAACTGACAAATATAAATTGAGGAACATTATACAAAACAACTGACCTGTATTTTTCAAGTGTCAAGGCCATGAAAGCAAGGAGAGATAGGAAATGTTAGATATGAGAGGAGACTAAGGAGGTATGACAACTAAAGCAATGTGGGATCCTGGGTTGCATCTTGGGACCAGAAAAAGGGAATTAGTAGAAGAGCTGGTGAAACCCAAATAAGCTCTATAGTTTAGTTAATAGCATTGCAGCACTTAATTTCACAGTCTTTATATTCTGGAATTATCTGTACTATTTTTGTAACTGTGAGCTTAAAATTATTTCTAAGTAAAAAAAGGATTTCTTAAGATAGATATTATTGTTATTCCCATTTTACTATGAGGAAGTTGAGGCACAGAGAAGTTAAATAACTTGTCCCAGTTGGATATAGTTAAGTAAGCGGTCAAGCTGGGATTTCAGCTCAACCATCTGGTTCTAGACTCCAGTGCTAAAACACTAAACTACACTACCTTTCCTTGATAAATTTTGTGTAGGTGGAATATGTGCAGAAAGTACAGGATACTTAGATGTTCCTTAAGCAAAAAGAATAAAAAAACTGATCACTTCTGGAAAGTAAATCAGTTAAATATGTTAGGTAAGATTAAGTGTTTCTTGGGTATTTTCCAGTAGTGGACTTTTGTAATTTATATGACAAAATTTTTAATACATGCAACTTACAGTTAAGAGAGTAAGATGAGAATTAGCTTTTAGGCCCGTGAGTAATGTGTCATGCTACTACATTAGGGCACTTATAATGTCATTAGGAGATAGGAATTTTTCAGCTTCCTTATAATCTTCAGGGACCACTGACCTACATGCAGCCGTCTTTGACCAAAACATGGTTATGCAACACATGACCATATTTGGATTTAAAATAAATCAGCTGTCCAGCCAGCATGGCTCAGTAGTTGAGCATCAACCTATGAACCAGGAAGTCACAGTTCAATTCCTGATCTGGGTACATGCCCAGGTTTCGGGCTTGATCCCCAGTGGGGGACAAGCAGGAGGCAGCGAATCAATGATTCTCTTTCATCATTGATGTTTCTATTTCTCTTTCTCTCTCTCCCTTCCTTTTTGGAATCAATAAAAACATATTCTAAGAATAAAATAAATGTCCTCTTTTTTATGTTTTTATTTATTTTTAGAGAGAGAGGAAAGGAGAGGGAGAGAGAGAGAGAGAGAAACATCGATGAGAGAGGAGCATCATTGATTGGCACCCCTACTAGGGTTAGAGTGCAACCCCGGCGGGAATCCAACTGGCAACCTCTTGGTTCCTGGGTTGACCCTCAACCGTTGAGCAAAACTGGCCAGAGCTAAATCTGTCTTCTTAATATGCTTTTCCCCCTGGTTATTTCTTTCTTTCCTTGTGTTATTTGAATTCGTAGTCTTTTAAAAATCATTCCATATTAATTGCTTTATTAAAATTGGGAAGATAACATTTTTTCTCTTTTATTTAATGACTAGAGGCCCGATGCACGAAATTCGTGCAAGGGGCAGGGCCCTCGCAGCCACAGCGGCTTGCCTTGGCCCTCGAAGCCCCAGCTTCGTCTGGAAGGATGAGCAGTCTAATTAGCATATTACACTTTTATTATTATAGATTGCCCTAGAATTTGTGGCATGCAGCTGTGACTTATAAAAGTCTACCATTAATTGATTCCTCTCCCCTTCTGGGCAATGTAAGGACCTTAGAACTCTAACTATACTTACCACTCCTCCTTTTGACTTTAAAGTACTATGTGTGTGTGCCCCAGCTGGTCTGGCTTGGTGGATGGAGCGTCAGCCTGCGGACTGAAGGGTCACAGGTTCGATTCTGGACAAGAGCACATGCCTGGGTTGTGGGCTTGATCCCCAGTGGGGGACGTGCAGGAGGCAGCCAATCAATGATTCTCTCTCATCATTGATGTTTCTATCGCTCTTTCCCTCTCCCTTCCTCTCTGAAATCAATAAAGATATATTTAAAAAAAAATAAAGTACTATGTGTATTTTAATTGTGTGCGTGTCTGTATAAAACCCTATAAGATGTTATTTCAAACAATGATTACTTAGATTTTTTAGTAAGGAAAACTTTTTACTGAAGTACAGCATAATAGAAAAGCATGCAAGTTATAAGTGTACAATTTGAATGAGAAAATTTGCTAGTCAAATTTCCATCCTTACAAAATTTATTTCTTATTGTAAATTAGTAAATTTGGTGTTCTGGTTTTAAAAACTTGATTTCCTAAATATTATTTTAAATATGTCCCTATGAACTGTATCTACTTTTATTTTTCCAAGAATGCAAGGATGTTGCAGGCTGTTGTCTTCCAGAGTCTGACTACCTTAGTAGTGAGTGCTGTCAACTTGGTGAAGTTTCTTTTCATCGATTAATTTTATTCAGTGCCAGGCAGGGACCAACACTATTAGTATATCCATGAAGAAGACAAGATGATCTGCATCTTACCCTTTGTAAGTTGGGGAGATACATTAGTAAATAAATGCACAAATAAGATAATTGGAGATAAGTGTTTTATTGCCAATTTAAAAAATGTCTTACTAAGAAAAAGTGGATCAGGATTTTTTCCTTATGTTAAATTTGTACACTTAGACTTAAAAGTTTTTGAGTAAAGTTAATGATGGCAAAGTATTATGCTAGTACTTTCCATGTTACTTCTTCCTTTCTTTTTTTAATCCTCAACCGAGGATATATTTCCACTGATTTTTAGAGAGAATGAAAGAGAGAGGGAAAGACAGAAATTTTAATGTGAGAGAAACACATCGATTGGTTGCCTCCTGCACGAGCCCTTACCAGGGCCAGGGCCAGGGAGGAGCCTGCAGCCAAGGTACATGCCCTTGACCAGAATGGAATGGAACCTGGGAACCACAGGCCGACGCTCTATCCACTGAGCAACACTGGCTAGGGCTCCATGTTACTTCTTTCTCATTCATAGACAGTCTAATTCTTTTAGCCCTCATATTTCTCCTAGGACTCTCCAGTCTTTATATTCCCAGGGATTATGCTTTCATTCATTGAATTAAGTAGACCTGAACCTCAGTTTCTCCAGGTTACTCTCCAGGAAGTTAATTATAATTGCTTCATGATCTAATCCTAGTTCTTTTTGTTAGGGCCCAAGAAATATCTGCTTTGCCTATTTGTGAATTAAGGATATCAACATGATTGTTTTCCTCCATCTTTTCTCTTCATTTTCCTCAACTCTTAACTAAGTAAATACTCTTTACTTGTGCTTTTAATTTGAGAGGTTGTTATCTGTTTAATTAGAAAAAAATCATTTCAGTAAACTTGGGGCTTTGTGTTTTTTTCATTATTATTAAAACCTTTGCAGATATTTCCCATTGAATTTAATTGCAGTTCTTTGTAAAAGTATTTTTCGAGAACCCAATGTAATGTGTTAACTGAGTGAATTTTTTCCTTTTAATTTCAGTTGGAAAGACATCCTTGATCACCAGATTCATGTATGACAGTTTTGACAACACCTATCAGGTATTTTGTTTTTTCCAACTTACTAGTTGTCTCTATTTTGTATGTTATAAGTAATATATGGTGTCCCCCCAAGAATATATACACTCTTCGAATAATTATTAATTCCAGTGGGTTAAATCTGAAAAGAAAGAAACATCAGTTGAGCTATCTACTTTTAGTAATGTATACATTTTTTGGGACACCTTGTATGGTGTTTTTAAAAAATTCACATGCAGTCATGGAAATAAAAGCACTTTGTAATCTGTAAAATGCAAAGTATAACTGATTTTGCTCATTGTGTTCGACATCTTCATGTGATTCTGTATTTCTTCCAAAGTATATTGAAAGATTATCCCTAATACCATCTGGGCTAGAAGTAGGAATGATTGTAAATATTCTTTTACAGAGATTTTGTTCTAGTCTAGGATTCTGTGACATTTTGACTTATACTTGAAGTCAAGAATAAAGGAGATTTGGGAAATCACCAATTTCCCAAATTAAATAACACATTCCTAAATAACCATTGGATCAAAGACAAAATCACAAGGGAAGTTAGAAAATACTTTGAGAAAAAAGAAAATACAATATATCAAAATTTATGGGATGCAGCTAAAACAGTGCTATAAGGAAAATAAAAACATTAAATCAATAATTTAACCTACCATAAAAAGCTAGAAAAAGAAAAGTAAACTAAATCTAAAGCAAGCAGTAGGAAGAAACTTTTAAAATGTAGGTTTTATTTTTATTCATGTATGGTGAGGCTAACAGATTAGGGGATTATTGCCATTGAAAAAATCTGTTGTACTCAGAGATCCCAAGAGGAAGAGGATGCACCATGCCATGGGAGGGAGGCACATGGGGAAGTTGTTGAGTTGGTTAGGAGGTGAGGAGTGGGAAATGGGAAACGTGGGCAAGAGCCTTTATTGTGGTTTCTGTGGGAAGGATAGGTGAGACCAGGAAAGCAGATTTAGGATTGCCTAGTTTGAATAATTTCAGTGGGCTCTGGGTGCAGGAACCATTCCTAGTTGTCTGGTACCTGGCTCTAGAACAGGGGTGGGCAAACTTTTTGACTCGAGGGCCACAATGGGTTCTTAAACTGGACCGGAGGGCCGGAACAAAAGCATGGATGGAGTGTTTGTGTGAACTAATATAAATTCAAAGTAAACATCATTACATAAAAGGGTACGGTCTTTTTTTTTTTTAGTTTTATTCATTTCAAACGGGCTGTAGTTTGCCCACGGCTGCTCTAGAATGATAGGGCTGGGGAATAGTGGCCCTGAGTGTGATACATGAAGTGGTTAGAATTATGGGCTCTGTATTGGTTGGTTTGCATATTTAAGGTGCTCTCACAGGCAAGTTTACTATTTCTAGGAATTGGTAAACTCTGGGAAGGCCAGTCTCCCAGATGTGAAAACAAAACAAAATAAAGACATGCTTAATTCAGAAGCTAATACAGATTAGAGCAGAGATATATGTAAGAATAGAAAAACAGTAGAGAAATGCAATGAAACTAAAAGTGGTTCTTAGAAAGGATAAACAAAATCAACTAACCTTGAGCTAGACTAATAAATTTAAAAAAGACTCAAATTACTAAAATCAAGATTGAGGAGAGGACATTACTACTGACTATGCAGGAATTAAAATGGATTATAAGAGAATACTGTGAATAATTATGTCGACAAGCTAGATAGCCTAGATCAGTGGTCGGCAAACTGTGGCTCGCAAGCCACATGCGGCTCTTGAGTGTGGCCACGAAGTTTCAATTGCACTGTACGTGCGCACCCGCACGTGGTATTTTGTGGAAGAGCCACACTCAAGGGGCCGCAGTGTGCTGACCACTGGCCTAGATGAAATGGTTAAATTCCAAGAAAGATACAAGAAGAAATAGAAAATTTGAATGTATCTATAATAAGTAGAGATAGAATTAGTGATCAGAAACTTCTCACAAAGAAAATCCCAGGACTAGATTCTCATCTCTGAAGACATCTGTTCAATTCTATAAAATATTTAATAAACAACACAAAAACTTCATCATCTTCCAAGAAACAGAACAGGAGGGAATACTTCCCAACTCATTCTATGAGGTCAATATTAAGTCTGATACCCAAACCAAAGACATCAAAATTAAAACTGCAGACTGATATTCTTTGTGAATATAAACACAACAGTCATCAACAGTTATTACCAAACTGAGTTTGGCAATGTGTCAAAAGGATTATATACCATTTATAAAGTGGGATTGGTAGGTTGGTATCAGGATTACAAATTGGTTCAACATATAAAAAGTAATGTAATACATTGTACAAATAGAATAAAGGACAAAAGCACATGATCATTTCAATGGACAAAGAAAAAGAATTTGACAAAGTCCAATAGCCATTCATGGTAAAAAAACAACAACAACACTGTTTAACAAACTAGAAATACAAGGGATCTTCCTAAACATGATAAAGGGTATCAGTGAAAAACCACAACAAATATACTTAATCTTAAAAGGCTGAATGCTTTTCTTTAAGATCAGGAACAAAATAAGGATGTCTGCTCTCAGTTCTACATATGTTTAAGTTTTATGTATATCTAAGTTACATGTATGTATTTTAGTTTGAACTGCATAATTGTAAAATAAAAATAAAAGAACAAACTAAGAAGAAAAAATTAGTAATCTTAAAACCAAATGCTTTCACTGAGACCCTAAGCATTTGCAAAACTTTTTCTGTATTAACTTTTTTAAAAAATATTTTTTTATTGATTTCAAATGGGGGGGGGGGGAGAGAGAGAGAGAGAGAGAGAGACAGACATCAGTGATGAGAGAGAATCATTGATAGGCTGCCTCCTGCATGATCAAGCCTGAAATCTGGGTATGTGCTATTGACCAGAGTCAAACCTGGGACCCTTTAGTTCATAGGCCGATGCTCTATTCACTGAGCCAAACTGGCTAGGGCTTTCTGTATTAACTTTTTGAAATGTTCTTGTTAAAATAAAAAAAATAAAATGACTCCTTTAAGTATCTATTTTATATCTGTGTTACTGTGTAGTTAGTATAAAAACTTGATTTCCATTGTTTTATCTTAATACTAGAGGCCCAGTACATGAAATTTGTGCACTGGGGGGTCCCTCAGCCCGGCCTGCGCCCTCTCGCAGTCCGAGACCCCTCGGGGGCAGGGAGTGGGGCTCAGCCGGCAGTCAGACATCCCTCTCGTAGTCCAGGACCCCTTGCTTCTTACCGTCCGCCTGCTCACTGCTCCTTACTGCTCGGCTTGCTGCTCCTTAGCACTGCCTTGGAGGCGGGAGAGGCTCCCGCCACTGCCACTGTGCTTGCCAGCCATTAGCCCAGCTTCTGGCTGAGCAGTGCTCCCCCTGTGGGAGCGCACTGACCACCAGGGGGTAGCTCCCATGTTGAGCGTCTGCCCCCTGGTGGTCAGTACGTGTCATAGGGACCAGTTGTTCTGCCATTCGGTCAATTTGCATATTAGCCTTTTATTATATAGGATATCAAATGTTAATCTGATTAAAGGAATGATGACTTTTCATAGTTGTTAACTGCCACTGTCTCAATTATTTATCAAACCATTTTTATTTTTCTAAAAGTTTTTAGGGTAAATTTAAAATCTGAATCTGGTTCTATTTTTGGTATGTATTTTCCCGCAAGTTTAATATGCTTTTTATAAAGTAGATCACCCCCCAAATCAATGAATTTATTAACACTTAAATAATGTGAAGCTGTAAATTAAGATACATGGGAAAATTCTTTAACCTTTGATTTCTTCTACAATTATTGTCTTCTCTATTTCCATAAAGGAAATGAATGTGAGGCAGCAGTAATGTCTCATTTAAATTTTTTTAAAATTATCTTTATTGTTGGAAGTATTACATTGGTCCTCCTTTTTCCCCCATTAACCTTTTCCAACCCCCTCCCACTCATTTATCTTTTATAAAGTTTTGAATTAGTTTTATGTCAGCATTCAAGATGCTCCAATAGCTGATAATGTTTATTTTCCCTGGAATTTTTTTCTGTTTCCCTGCTGTTGATTTCTTTGCCATAATAGCTCTGCTTGGTATAAAATTAACTGAAAAGAAAAGCAGCAGTAGGTTGTTTTTCAGGTTAATTTTGATCTTTGAGTTCAGTGGTATAAATGTCCCCAAACTAGGATGACATAGTGGAAGCAGGGGACTATTGTACAATTTATCATAAAGTCTGACTGTACTAATTTAAAAAAGCATGTGTTGGCTATGAGATTTGAAAAATGACAATTTCTGTTTGTAGCCATTAAAAATTATTTTTGGCTGTTTTTAACAAACTTAATAACATTAATAAGTGACATGAGAATTATTTTTAGGTGAAAGAGAGTTTATCAGTGAAGGAGTGGGACAGAGAAAGTTACTCCATAGCACAGCTGAGAATTTTTTTTTTCATGTAAAATAATTTTAGAGGTAGGGTAGTTCAGGAGGTATTTGGCAGCTCCATGGGCATCTGGGACCAAGACTCCTCCTAATTTTCTGTTTTAACAAACAGATCTAATATATGACTTTCATATTGAAGTTTGCCTCATGGTTATTGAATGTTTCCTAGAGTTTTGTTATCCACATTTCAGGCAGGAAGGAGAAGTAAGATAAAACCAAGGGTATACCTGCCAACTCAGAGAGCCCCATTAATTTAAAACTCAGAGAAGACTGGACAATGTAGTTTTTTTGATGGAAAAAGTATGGATTTAAATAAATGTTTGTGTTTTTAAGGAAGAAGGGGAAGATGGATATTTGTGTGGGCAATTAGCTGCTTCTACCATAGTGAGTAGATGAGGTTCTCCTGATGAGGTTTCTTAAATGTAGCCATATCTCATTCCTGTACATTGTTCAGGTTTGTCAAGTAGAGACTCTTGCACAGTAAGTTCAAAGTTATAAACCTGTTATCCCACCGTATATCCATTCTCAGATGGAATGTCATAAAATGGAATTAGTACTTTGCTTATATGTACTTAAGCCCTAAATTGAGAAACATTATTGAAATACATAGTCACATAATTTAAGATAAAGGATGAAACTTCTTTGTGTGTGTGTGTGTGTTTTTTATAAAAGTTTCTGTGTAACTGAAATCTATAAAACACTGCTCAAAATATTAAAGACCTAAATAAATGGAGAGACGTCCCAGGTAAATGGATTGGAAGACTTAATATTGTTAAGATGTCAGTAGTAACTACCCAAAGCAATCTATAGATTCAGTGCAATTCCTATAAAAATTTTTGCCACCATTTTTTGTAGAAATTAAAGAGCCAATCCTGATTTGCATAGCCAAACAGCCTTGAAAAAGAAAAGTAAAGTTGGAGAACTAGTACATCCAGATTTTAAAACTTAATTCAAAGCTACAATAATCAAAATAATGTGATACTGGCACAAGGATAGACATATAGACCTATATGGAATATAATTGAGAATCCATAACAAAATCCATGTATCTATTGACAATGGATTTTCCATAAAGGTGTACTGGGCCCAACCTACAGAATGGGAGGAAATATTTGAAAGTTACATGTCTAGTAAGTGTTTAATATTCAGAATACTATATAAAGAACTACAAATCATAAATAATAAAAATGACAAACTCAAATTTTAAATGAGTGAAGGACTTCAATAGGCATTACTTCAGAGAGGATATACAAATAGCCGAAAACACATGAAAAAATTCTCAACATCAGTAGTCATTAGAGAACTGCAAATCAAAACCACAATAAGATTCCACTTCACACCTACTAGGATAGAATTTAAAATCGTGCAGCCACTGTGGAAAAGTCTGACATTTCCTCGCAAAGTTAAATACAATTACCATATGGCCCAGCAATTCCACTCCTAGATATAAACCAAGGATAATTGAAAACAGGAATTCACAATAGCCAAAAAGTGGAAACAACCCAGTTGTTCATCAGTAGATGAATGGATTTACTGTAAAATGTTATTACTTAATGGGTACAGAGTTTCTATTTGGGGTGATGAAAAAGTTTTGGAAATAGATAGTATTGACAGTTGTATATCATTGTGAATGTAATTAATGCTATTGAATGGTATCCTTGAAAATGGTTAATATGTCAAATTTTATGATACATATATTTTGCCACCATTTAAAAATAAAAACTATCTTTAAAAATATATCAGTGTCAATGTAGGTTCATCAGTTACAACAAATGTAACATTTTGGTGGGTAATGTTGATAATAGAGGACGCTGTGCATATTTTGGGAGTATATCTTCCTCTCAGTTTTGCTGTGAACTTAAAACTACTCAAAATAAAGTCTTTTTAATAAAAAAATGGTTAAGATATATATCTAATAAGCATATATTGGAAAGAGCTTTTAATTCCAACTCTACAACAGAAGTTTTGTGTCCTTAGATAAGTTATTTAACTTCTCTGAACTCCAATATTGTTATCTCTACAATGAGAAAAACAGCGATAAAAATAGCTAACTCGCAGAGATTTATGAGGATTAGAGATGATCATGTGAAGGGCCTAAAAGAATCCCCATTATCACTGAAACTTTTGTTCATTCTTACTTGACGACAATGTGTTTATGTTTATTCATTATTTCTACCACAATCAGAATTCCCATTTGAACCTGAAACTGCTGACTGCCATTAAACTATTATTATTATTATTTAACTTCTTTGTTTTGGTTTGGTTTACAGGCAACAATTGGTATTGACTTTTTATCAAAAACAATGTACTTGGAAGATCGAACAGTGAGTAATGTTTTCCATGTGCAATTTTCTTCAACACTCCAGGATAGAAAATGGTGATCAAACTATAATCAATGATTGTCACTATAGAAAGTACTTAGCAGACTTGCCAAAGTTAATTTACAGGTCTTGAGAAAAACTTATTACAGAATGAATAGTTCTTAGCACTCTGACTTCTTAACCCCAAGTGAAACCCAAAAAGGAGAGAAAGCCAAGTTATTTATAAAACCCTGAAGGCCCTAGGCTTGTTAAACAGAATTCGTCGTCCTGATTTAGAAAAATGGTAACAAATACAGCATTGAGATATTTAGAGCTGCTAAAGACCTTTTGAATGCCACTGTTAAGGCATTCAGAAAGATTTCATTTGAATTTGACAAAACTTGTGAACTTCAAGGTTTTATTTGTCAGAATATGATGTATACCAAAGTGACTGTAAATAGAATGTGTATTTATTTGTTGGATTTGTCTTCCATCTTTAGGAATGTTCCCTTTAATAAGTACAATGTAAATTCTGTATTCTAGTCCACTACCTCTTGAAGAGATTTCTATCACCTAAACAGTGACTGTCTTAAATGCAATATTTTGGGACCTATACCCCAAAACATTTTATATCTAATATTATTTCTTATAAGTGTGTGTTTTCTTTTGGATGTTCTCTTTCATGTTTTAATATATAGCATGCCATTTCTTAAAATTTGAAAGCTTAGAAACAGTTTTATAATGGTAAAAGAACTTAATGCCTGTTTTTAGGCTTTTCTTCCTCAAATGTGAAAAAGTAAGAAAGTAAAATTTTTATGTAGGGTTGCAAAAAGATACTCCTCTTTTTTGTTAGATTATATACAGTGTTCTGGGAAGAAGTGTGTGGGAGAAACATAATCACAGTAGTCAGAGACCCAATTTCAGAGTGTTCCAGACCCAATAGAAAAGGGACACATTTTAGCTTCAGAGAGGCTTTCTGAGAAGCATTAATTCCTTTACTGTGATAGCCTGGGCTGCTCATTGACTTTTCCCTTTGTTTTTCCCTGTTATGCTTACTATTTGAACATGAACAAAGTCTACTTTTTGCTATCCAGAAGGCATAGGATTCATAGAGAGGGGGTGGAGGTGGGGGGGGGGAAGGAAGCTGTATTTCTGATTCTGTGAAGAATTTGCCATTGCCATTTTTAAGTCATGTATCTTCAGATACATTTTTATATTACTCTCTTTTGAAAAAGGAAAGTTTTGTGTTTTCATTCTTCACATCCCTGCAACCTTTTGCATGAGTCTTTGTTTTACTTCCTTTCTACCCCTTTAAAAAACATTATTTCTTTTTTATTTTTAGTATGAGTTTGGTTTTTTTTTTTTTTTATTCATTTTTTCCCATCCCACAGATCAGGCTGCAGCTGTGGGATACTGCGGGTCAGGAACGTTTCCGTAGCCTCATTCCCAGTTACATCCGTGATTCTGCTGCAGCCGTAGTAGTTTACGATATCACAAGTAGGTATTTTGCAATGGGTTGACCTTCTTGCTTGTTTGACTGATTTTGTTGTTAGGTACGATTGCAATTATGGGACACAGCAGGTCAAGAGCGGTTCAGGAGCTTGATTCCTAGCTACATTCGTGACTCCACTGTGGCAGTTGTTGTTTATGATATCACAAGTGAGTGGGGGGGAATTATGCATTTCTAATCTTCTTTCAGCCTTTAGCTTAGCTGTATGCATGTTCTTGTCTTGTGCTTGTTTTCAATACTGGCATGCAAAAATGAGTTTTATCATAGCAAACCTTTTCACAGATTGTCTAGGTTAGAAATATTTGCTTGGTGTTTGTACCAATACCCTTTATTCTACTGTGCCACATTTTTTGTCCTGGAAATTTTCCTTTGGGTTTAATTATGAATCCTCTCCAAGGCTTTCTTAATATCCTATTATCCCTAAGTCACATCATAATTATGGTTGGAAGAACATCTTTTTTATTTAACTTGATCTCAGACTTTTCTAAAATAAAGTAAATCTGCATTTAAGCCTCTTGCCAAGTTTTCCAAATCTTCCAAGGCTTCTGTTGAGGCTATTAAAAACTTCTGCTAGCCTACTTTTCCCTGCTTTTCCCCTTACAGCCATTCTTTCTCTATAGAGGAAGGCAGAGAAATCATAATGTGCAATCTTCTATTAATCATTTTCATTTGAATATCTGGATTCTATGATTGACTGACTTGCTTTGTTGCTAACAAATTACACTTTCATTTCTCCCCAAGAAAATAAATAGACTAAAGTATTGTTCTTCCTTTTTCTTTTCCCTAGAAACTGAATAATGCCTTTAGAATTTTATGTGACTTTAAATGTTCCATGGAGCATTGGTAACTGATAAGGAAATGCTCTCTGATTAAAATTATCTTTGTAAATTGTTTTTTAAAAATATATTAGGCAATATTAAGCATCATTCTATCTAGTGGTCCATAATTTATAGAAAAACCAGGATAGTACTCCATTATCAACAAAGTATTGATTTGAGCAAGTAATAATATTCTCATACATTTTTGCATATCTGCTCAACCAGAAGTCCTATCTACTTAATAATAATTGCAATAGCAGAATTATAAATTACAAGTTTGCATTCAGAGACCTTTTATTTGGGTTAGGTGCTATATGCCATCTTTTCTTGAAGCTTTACTTTGGGTTGCTACTTGTTTAAAAAACTGTATGTTCATTATTGTGCATTGACAAGTTTTGCAGCTTTAAAATGTTTGTGCTTACTTTAACCAGATCAAGTGAAACCGTATGTATTTTTCTTTAAAAATTGTGCACAGGAGGTTAAAATATTAGTAAACTATTTTTTAAACTATTTTTTTTTTTAGCTACTATGAAAAATATTGAAGTATTCTACTTAGAATCTAGTGCTAGAAAAGATGGATTTTTTTAAACAAGTGATTCTGGTGCATTATACAAACTTCAAGTTAAAGTGATCACAAACTGAATAAGCAATGCAAATAGAGTGGTGTTGAAAGCTATTTAAAGGCTTTCCAAATTTTCTGGATGTGTTGGGTCTTACTGGCTGACATACTTTTGGAGATGCTTTCTTTGTCATGTTTGGTATGTGTAAGTAATCAAAAAATATTGTGGCAATGTAACACCATATTATCTGCCATAGCTGTCCTTACATTAAAATTTTTTTTTCAATTACATATAGTACATTGCACTCATTTAGTTGTGTTCAACATTTTAAACCACTATAAAAGGAACCTTGAGGATTTTATATTTGTGATTTGTTTAGACTACTGACAGTTATACTCAGATAAAATGGAGTTATGTTACAGGCACATTAAAAGTGGGTCGTAATGTGCCAGCCTCCTTCCAATTTCCAGGGCTTTTTTCCCCTTTCTTTCTTTTCTCTTTCTTTCTTTGTTTACGTTTCTTCTTTATTTTTTGGTCCATCACATGGGGAGGCATTTATAATAACATTGATGTCTCTGTTCACCCTTTTATACCAGATGTTAACTCATTCCAGCAAACTACAAAATGGATTGATGATGTCAGAACAGAAAGAGGAAGTGATGTTATCATCATGCTAGTAGGAAATAAAACAGATCTTGCTGATAAGAGGTATGGAGTGATTTTGTATGTATATGAAATGTTTGGTTTATTTAAGTAGTCTGTTATTTATAATATTACTGAAGAATTGTTTTTAAAATAACATGTTAGCCAAACCGGTTTAGCTCAGTGGATAGAGCGTCGGCCTGCGGACTCAAGGGTCCCAGGTTCGATTCCGGTCAAGGGCATGTACCTTGGTTGCGGGCATATCCCCAGTAGTGGGTGTGCAGGAGGCAGCTGAGTGATGTTTCTCTCTCATCGATGTTTCTAACTCTCTATCCCTCTCCCTTCCTCTCTGTAAAAAATCAATAAAATATATTTAAAAAAAAAAAGATTCTGGCTATAAAGGATCATGGTCAACTTTTAAAATTTGGGCGGTTTTAACCCTATTTCTAGGTACTATGTTAGTCTAAAATAGGGCCCTTGGAAATGTATTTTAGAGAATTTTCCTTAGGTGATTGTGACAAAATCAAACCACAATTGGGGTCATTGCTATAGCTAACATTCAACCATTTTATTAGGGTGACTTATAATTCTGCAACTAGAAATGGTTTTTGTCTGGAGTTCTTCACATGTAGGGTTTACAGACTAATAATCATTCAAGAAGTATTTATTGGATATCACTTATGTTTCAGAGGATGGTACTCTAGGGTAGAGTAGTGAACAAAAAAGGTAAGTCTTCATGGAGTTTTTATTTCAGAGAGTGAACCAGACAAAATAAAGCAGGGCAAAGGTGCCCTAACTGGTTTGGCTCAGTGGATAGAGCCTCAGCCTACGGACTGAAGGGTCCCAGGTTCGATTCCGGTCAAGGGCATGTACCTTGGTTGCGGGCACATCCCCAGTGGGGGGTGTGCAGGAGGCAGCTGATCGATGTTTCTCTCTCATCGATGTTTCTAACTCTCTATCCCTCTCCCTTCCTCTCTGTAAAAAATCAATAAAATATATTTTTAAAAAAATCAATAAAATATATTTAAAAAAAAATAAAAAAATAAAGCAGGGCAAGGGAATATGAAATGTCAAGGGTGAGTTTGAAATATTAAATGGCATAGCAGTAGAAGATCTCACTGAGAGATCTTCTAAGGAAGTTAACTATGCAGATATTTTAAGGAGGAAAAGTCCCAAGGCAGATGGCTCAGATAGATAAGTAAGTTTTGGAGTCATCAGCATATAGATGGTACTTTAAACCATGAGACTGTGTGGGATCACCAGGGGGACTAATTGTAGATAGGAAAGAGGTCCAAGAGTAAGTTTGAGGGCACCTGACAGAATTATTATTTTTAAAATATATTTTTTTATTGATTTCAGAGAGGAAGGGAGAGGGAGAGAGAGATAGAAACATCAATGATGAGAGAGAATCAGCACAGCCTTACACTAGGGATCGAACCCACAATCTGGGCATGTGTCCTGACTGGGAATTGAACCGTGACCTCCTGTTCAACCATTGAGCCATGCCTGCTGGGCTGACAATTATTTTTAGGAAATCCACACTGCTAAAGCATTCAAGGCTAAAGGTTTATAGATTGTCAACTTTCAAAGTGTTAAGAAAAAGTGTGTTATTTAAAATTTATATACACACACAAATTTGTAGAGCTGAACACCTGTGTTGCCAGCTAGGCACTTGGAACACCAAGATCAATGAGATAATCTTATACTTGAAGAGTTTACAATTTGAGAAACTGCTAATTATAATACATCACAAAATGTCCTCTAAAATAAGTATTAAAGTTTTAAACTCTGTATCAAGAGACTTCACCATAAATGTGTAGGTTTTTTTTAACCTCACCCTAGGATATTTTTCCCCCATTGATTTTTAGAAAGAGTGGAAGGGAGGGAGGTGGAGGGGAGCAGTGGGGGAGACACATACAATGATGTGAGATTTTGATTGGTTGCCTCTTTCATGCAAGCTGACTGGGGCCAGGGATCAAAACTGCAACCCAGGTACATGCCTTGAGTGGGAATCAAACCCACAACCCTTTGGTGCATGGGCCTACATCCTAACCATTGAGAAACACTGGCCAGGGCCAACATACATGTCTTTTGATTCGCTTTTTCACTTGCAGATATTCACAAAATTCAGCCTCCGGAAATGATCCACAGTGCACAAAGTAGTAAGCACAAAGATGTTTATAGCATCATTTTTCACATTTGTGTAGAATTTGAAACCAACTTACATTTTTAACAGTTTGGGAATGGTTATATAAATTATAGTAGAAAATTGCCCTAGCCGGTTTTGCTTAATGGGTAGAGCATCAGCCTGCAGACCAAAGGGTCCTGAGTTTGATTCCAGTCAAGGGCACGTACCTTGGTTGCAGGCTCCTCCCTGGCCCAGGTCCTGGCCCAGGCTCGTGCAGGAGGCAACCAATCGATGTGTGTCTCTCACATCAATGTTTCTCTCTGTCTTTCCCTCTCTCTTCCACTCTCCCTAAAAAAAAAAAAAAAAATCAATGGAAAAATATCCTTGGGTGAGGGTTACCAAAAATTAAAAAATAAAATAGATAAAAAATAAATTATAGTAGCAAATTGACAAATTGTTTAGCAATAAAAAATTATTTTACACAAAGTTTTTAATCACATGATTAAATACTTAGGGTCTAATATTAAGAAAAAATAGCAGGCTATTAAGTTTAAAAAAATTAAAAAGTTATAGGCTATTAAAAATAGCAGGCTATTAAGTTTAAAAAAATAAAAAAGGTAAAAGCAAATCATTAAAAAAAAAGTCTTGCCGAAACCGGTTTGGCTCAGTGGATAGAGCGTCAGCCTGCGGACTGAGAGGTCCCGGGTTCGATTCCGGTCAAGGGCATGTACCTGGGTTGCGGGCACATCCCCGGTGAGGGATGTGCAAGAGGCAGCTGATCGATGTTTCTCTCTCATCAATGTTTCTAACTCTCTCTATCTCTCTCCCTTCCTCTCTGTGAAAAATCAATAAAATATATTTAAAAAAAAAAAAAAGTCTTGATATAACATACACATACTAGTACAAGTGCACACATTTTAAGTGTACAGCAGCTTAAATTTTCAAACTAGTCTTGTCTGTGTAACCAGCACCCATATCAAGAAAAGTTATTATAGAACTTTGTTTCTAATCTTTATAATAACATCTTTCAAAAAGAAGAATTTGGTTTATTTTTCTACAGGCAAGTATCAATTGAGGAGGGAGAGAGGAAAGCCAAAGAGCTGAATGTTATGTTTATTGAAACTAGTGCAAAAGCGGGATACAATGTAAAGCAGGTAAGTGTTCTTTGGAGTATTTACCAAATTGAAAACACATATTATGAAATAATTGTGTGAGTATTCTATTCTCTAGTGTAAGATTTTCTTTCAGTTAGCAACAGTAAGCCTCACGAACTAGTTTATTAAACAGTGAAAAACATAAATGTGGCTAGTTTTTGGAAAAAGAGAAAAAGACTTGCCAAACTTTTCAAATCATGCACAGAAAAAGTACTTTATTATGATTGCAAGATTGTGTGATTGCAAGGTTGTAAACTCACATCCTCTCACTACTTCCCTACTGCATTGTTTCAAGGTAACATTTCTTATTTTAGAGTTTGATAGTAAGATTATGATAAAAGAAAGCAAATATTGCTGTCAGGAATGGTATTTTCCTTATTGTGATGAAAGTACATCATGGTTACTTTATTCTTACAAACTACTAATGTGTTAACAGTGATTATAAAAGGAGTGTTTGGGGGGCGGGGGGAGAGGAAAATATCTGGGGACCTCACATTATCAAACTTTTCTAAAAGATGAAGTAGCCAAAAACTCACCTGCTTAATTCTCCAGGGCTATATAAATATAAAGTAGTAGTTGCAGATTTATGGTATTTACAGACCAATAAATTATTATAATTACTAGTGGCCTGGTGCACAAAATTTGTGCACGGTGGGGGGGCGCTCAGCCCGGCCTGCACCCTCTCCAATCTGGGACCCCTCTAGCAATCTGGACTGCTGGCTCCTAACCACTCGCCTGCCTGCCTGATTGCCCCTAACCACTCTGCCTGCCGGCCTGCTCACTCCAGCTCGGTGGCCCCTGCCCTCCTAGTTGGGTTAATCTGCATACTCACTCCTGATTGACTGGTGGGTGTGGCTTGTGGGTGTAGCAGAGTGATGGTTAATTAGCATGTTTCTTTTTTATTAGTGTAGATTATCCTATATAATAAAAGGGTAATATGCAAATTGACCCTAACAGTAGAACCACTGGGAATGACTGGTCACTATGACACACACTGACCACCAGGGGGCAGACACTCAATGCAGGAGCTGCCCCCTGGTGGTCAGTGCGCTCCCACAGGGGGAGCTCTGCTCAGCCACAAGCCAGGCTGACGGCTGCCAGCACAGCGATGGTGGCGGGAGCCTCTCCTGCCTCCTCAGCAGTGCTAAGGATGTCCGACTGCAGCTTAGGCCTGCTCCCCGCTGGCAAGTGGACATCCCCCGAAGGCTCTTGGGCTGCCAGAGGGATGTCTGACTGCCAGCTTAGGCCCAATCCCCTGGGGAGGAGGCCTAAGCCAGCAGGTGGACATCCCCCGAGGGGTCCCAGACTGCCAGAGGGCACAGGCCAGGCTGAGGGACCCCCCCGAGTGCACAAATTTTTGTGCACTGGGCCTCTAGTATATATATAAAGGATCAAGCAATGAATGCATAAATCAGTAGAATAATAATCGATGTCTTCCACCCCCTCCCGTTTCCTCTCTCCCTCTCTCTAAAAATCAGTAAATAAATATGTTTTTTAAAAAGTTGATAGCTCAAGCTAGAATTTGAACCCAGGTCTATTTAGTTCCAAAATCTGTGCTCTTAACCATGCACTATTCTGCTTCTCTAATATTTAATCTTACCCTTGATTTATCCTTTTTGCACTTCCCATCCCTAACACAGTAGGACTTTAATGTCACTGAATGGGCAGGAATCCAAGTGTATGATGAATATGAACTGGTGAAAAGAAAAATATTGACCATACTCTATTCAGTTATTAATTCACTCATCAGATATTTATTGATCACCTCCTACATGCCTAGTTACGTTTTGTTATAGGTGCTGAGATATAATAGCAATACATCTTAAGTCATATCATTATGGAGTTTACATTCTAATACGTAGCGTTAGGCAATAAATGAAAATATAATACTTCATGAAGTTGGAAGTGCTTTGAAGAAAAATAAAGCAAGGTGAGGGAGATAAAGGGTACTGGTAAAGGGAGTTAGATATTTATGTTTTATAAAGGATAATCTGTGAAAGCCCCTCTGATAAGGTGGTATTTGAGCCAGAGATCTAAAGGAATTGAGGAAGTGAGTCATTTCTATATCTGGGGAAGAACGTTCTAAGCATCAAGTGTAATGACAAGATCAAAGGTGCTTGTCATGTTTAAGGAATATTAAGGAATTCAGTAAAGAGTATAGTGAGGGAGGGGGCAAGTGATAGAAATTGAGCTCATAGAGGATAGTTTTAGGGGACAGAGGTCTAAGTCTATGTAGGGTGTAGTTAAGGATTTGGATTTTCGGACTAAGGTAGGAAGATGTTTGAAGTTTTTAATTAGAGATTTGACATGAGATTTAGTATTTAAAAGAAATTACTGGCTGCTCTATAAAAAAAAAAGGACTGTAGAGGATAAAAGTGGTAGCAAGAAGACATGTTAAAATTGCAAAAAGAAAAGTATTAAACTAATCCTTCATTTAAGACATGATAGACTACCAGAACTAAAGTAGCTATCTAGCAAAAATTCAAAGTCAACTAATACTGAGAACTCATGATATAAGAATTACAATGGTATATAAAATACTCCTTACCCATTGCCCGGCTGGCATGGCTCAGTGGTTGAGCATCGGCCTAGGAACCAGGAGGCCATGGTTCGATTCCATGTCAGGGCACATGCCCAGGTTGCGGGTTCGATCCCTAATAGGGGGCATGCAGGAGGCAGTCAATAATTCTCATCATTTCTATCTCTCTCTCCCTCTCCCTTTGTCTCTGAAATAAAAGTATATATCTTTTTTTTTTTTAATTTAAAAAATAAAATACTCCTTACCTGCCCTAGCCAGTTTGGCTCACCGAGGACTGAAGGGTCTGGGTTTGATTCTAGTCAAGGGCAGGTACCTTGGTTGCAGGCTCTATCCCAGTCCTGGTCGGGGCGAGTGCAGGAGGCAATCAATGTGTCTCTCTCACATTGATGTTTCTTTCTCTGTCTCTTCCCCTCCTTTCCATTCTCTCTAAAAATCTATGGAAAAATATCCTCAGGTGAGGATTAACAAAAATACTCCTTACACTTACAAAGTTTATTTTCTTAATGGAAATTTTTCTGTAAGTTGGTGGAACTGATTAGCTTAGCTTGCCCTTTGAAGAATTGAATTTCTTCTTGCTTGGTTATAAAATACTTGGTTAAGCCCTGGCCAGGTGCTTCAGTTGGTTAGAGCGTTGTCCCAATATGCCAGAGTTGCAGGTTTGATCCCGGTCAGGGCACAAACAAGAATCAACCAATGAATGCATAGGTAAGTGGAACAACAAACCAATATTTCTCTCTTTCTTTTCTCTAAAATCAATAAAAAAAATTTTTTTTAATTTAGAGGTATTTGGTTAATTTTATAATAATGATAAGAACTAATAGCAATAGTGATTTTACTTTGAGATCTCCTTCTCCAATTCACTCCTTTAAATTAAACACCTGAAATTATAGCTCAAAATATTCAACTTGAAAATTTCTATGGAGAGACTATATTCAGCTTGTCATCGTCTCCAGAGCTAATTCTCATAGCTTTCACTGCAATTTAAATATGCCTAATTCTCTCTAAAAATTACAAGTAATACCATACAGCTAGAGGTGAGGGTGGAATTAATACCCCTTTTCCAGAAAGAAAATGTCTTGGCAAGGATGATTCAGAATGCCTATAGAAAGTGGATACTCAGCAAATACAAGTGTGAGGATTTAAAAAAATATTACCAACTGTACTGACCCATACTTTATCCTGATATAGCAGATACCTCTGTTAGTAGCATATCATTGCCAGTTAAGAAATGGATTTTTCTTTAATGATTATTTAAAACAACTTAAACTCCTAGAGTTTTATCTTTCCAGTCATATATATTTCTGTAAGGATAGAACTTGGCTTTTGTAAAGCATTTTCTTGACTCAATTTGAGATGTCCTGAGTTGAGTACAGGTTAGTGACATTGATTCTTTTAATTTAATTGAAATATTTTGAAAGAGCACTAAATTTTTAAAAATACATCAATTAAAAACTATAGATAAAAATTTTTTGTCATAGAAAATGGATTAAGTTTTTATGTCTGTGATTTGTTTGTAATAATATTTTACAAAACAAATTCTTCTTACCCAGGATTTTCAGCTATTTCTTCACATAGCCTTTTTCACAGTGTTTCCCATATAGAAAGATCTTCCATTTAGAACTAGGTAGCATAAGGTAGTAGAAAGCAAGTGAACCTTGGAATCTCAGCTCTGCCACTTATTTGGTGTATGGCAAATATGTCATTACTTACCCTTATATTTGCGTGTTTTAATTGATCCTTTTTTATATTTGATTAGAGATATTCAGCGGCATTTGTTTTTTCAAGTTGAAATTTATCAGTTTTTCTTCACTGTCACTCTGCATATAAATTAAAAAATTTTTTTATACTTTTTCTGATTTCTTTTGTTGCCCATTTTTTGGGCCGTCTGGAGGATTCAATGGCTACAAGTATTGCTAGTCTTTCGTTCACTTGATGAAAGAACAACCTTTCTCTGATCTATGATTATATGCTAAACAGTATTATGAATAGTCATACCTAAAGAATTAAATGATAATTCAGATGCAAGTGAACCCCAAAAAGTAATCAGCTAAAGGCACTAATCTATTGTATGTACTACACTCTATGCTTACTAATGTATATAGTGCTACTAAGCCATATAGTAGCACTTTACACATATAGTAGAACTAAGACAGGTCTATTTCTGTTTTTCAGGTTTGTCCTAATCCTATCCCATTGGGTGATTGCCTACAGATTACTCCTTTTCTATACTTCTTTCCCCAAACAGATTATAGCCTCAGTCTTTCATCTCTGGCCTTTGTTCTTTCTGTTTCCTTCTCAATTTAACACATGGAGCACTTAAACTCAGAGCACTTTGCACAGTATGTGTTTTTTTTAAATATATTTTTATTGATTTCAGAGAGGGAGAGAGAAAGATAGAAACATCAATGATGAGAGAGAATCATTGATCGGTTGCCTCCTGCCTGCCCCCAACTGGGCAGTGAGCTCACAACCTGGATATGTGCCTTACCAAGAATTGAACCAAGACCTCCTGGTTCATAGGTGAATGCTCAACCACTGAGCCATGCCAGTAGGGCAAGTGAAATTTTAAAAGTGCCTTTAAGTCCCAACTCAGATGTTATTGCCTAAAGATTTTCCCCAGCCTCCTGAAGAGGACTTTCTTTCATCTGTATTCTCTATCATTTTGTATTTCCTTGGTTTATAGCATTTATCACATTGTAACATGAGGAATTGTTTGAATCTATCTCCTTTGTCAGACTGTGAGCTCCTTGAATTAAAAAACTACATCTTGTTCATTTCTGTGTCCCCAGAAAACTTGAGACAATACTTCAAGTAGCAGATGCTTAGTTCAAGGGAGTTATATCACATTAACATAGGAATTTTACATTGCATGCCTAACGAAGAAAAGATATGACTAAAATAATCTGGCAGTTTATGTGTCACTAGAGGCCCGGTACACAAAATGTGTGCATGGCGGGGGAGGGGGGGGGGAGCTCCCTCAGCCCGGCCTGCGACCTCTTGCAATCCAGGACCACTTGGGGGGTGTTGGGCCTAAACCAGCAGTCGGACATCCCTCTCACAGTCTGGGACGCTGCATGCCCCGGTGACCATACTTTTCATACAGGTGAAAGGCATCTTGCTGTTGTATGGGCAGCTATATATTTTTTGCCCTGATTATAAAAAGTAGTACATAACATGATCCTTCTGAGGATCATTTTCCCCATCTTATGGGTGGAAAAACTGAAGCAGAAAGAAGTTAAGTAATTGGCTTTGTCACACAGTTCTAAGTGTCAGAATCAGGGCTGACCACAAGATGTGCAAGCCAGAGTCCATGCATGTCATCGCTGCATCATCCTGTTTTTTCAGTGTTAGAGTAGCCTTGCCAGGTTTTAATTTTTAAATCTAAGAGACTGTTCCCAATATATAGGGTAGGGTCCCTAGGCCTGGCCGGCAATCGGGGCCATCTGTGGGGCAACTGGCGGGCAGGGCGATTGGGGGGCCCCTGCTGGCACCCGCCTTGGCTGGCAGTCTGATGCCGCCAGCTGGCTGGCCCCGCCACCCAGCTCAGCCGCCCAATTGCCGCCGCCGATCGCCTCCCTCTTGGAGAGCAGATGCTCAACGCAGACGCTCAACGCTGCTCCCAACTGAGAGCAGCTCCTGTGTTGAGCGTCTGCCCCCTGGTGGTCAGTGTGCATCATAGCGACTGGTCATTCTACCAGTCGTTCTGCTGTTCGGTCAATTTGCATATTAGGGTTTTATTATATAGGATTCTACCTAGTGAGCATTTGCTTATGTTTGGGAACAAAATAAGTATGAATCTGCTGTTTCTTTAGTCATTAGTCTTTTCTGTTCCCACATGCCTCTAAAGTGAGTATCTCACCAGACTTGAGTGTGATTCTCCTTCTGAAGATGTTTTTCATTACATCATACCTCAAATACAAGCTAGCCACGTCTACTGGTGCTCTTTCCAGTGACAAAGGAGAAGCCAGCTGCATTTAATTTAAGAGGTGCTGTGTTGGTCTCTAACCTAGTGTTTTCTGAAAGACAAGGGTAATTTTGTCTAGACTGACTTTTACTATATGTATACTGACTTTAGAGCCTAACCCTTTATAAAATGGAATGCCACTATACAGTTTTACTAAATGAACAGTCTGTCCTTTTTCTGTATTCCTATAGTACAGTATAGCGAACCTTTTGGGCTCGGCGTGTCAGCTTTTGAAAAACCCTAACTTAACTCTGGTGCTGTGTCACATATAGAAATTTTTTTTTAATTAAATCTTTATTGTTCAGATTATTACAATTGTTCCTCTTTTTTCCCCTCCTCCACCCAGTTCCCACCCCACCCTCTGCCCTTATGCCTCCCACTGTCCTCATCCATAGGTGTATGATTTTTGTCCAGTCTCTTCCCACACCCCTTTTCCCCCAAGAATTGTCAGTACACTCCCTTTCCATGCCCCTGGTTCTATTATATTCACCAGTTTACTCTGTTCATCAGATTTTTTATTCACTTGATTTTTAGATTCACTTGTTGATAGATATGTATTTGCTGTTCATAATTTTTATCTTTACCTTTTTCTTCTTCCTCTTCTTAAAGAATACCTTTCAGCATTTCATATAATGCTGGTTTGGTGGTGATGAACTCCTTTAGCTTTTTCTTATCTGTGAAGCTCTTTGTCTGACCTTCAATTCTGAATGATAGCTTTGCTGGATAAAGTAATCTTGGTTGTAGGTTCTTGGTATTCATCACTTTGAATATTTCTTGCCACTCCCTTCTGGCCTGCAAAGTTTCTGTTGAGAAATCAGCTGACAGTCGTATGGGTACTCCCTTGTAGGTAACTGTCTTTCTCTTGCTGCTTTTAAGATTCTCTCTTTGTCTTTTGCTCTTGGCATTTTAATTATGATGTGTCTTGGTGTGGTCCTCTTTGGATTCCTTTTGTTTGGGTTTCTCTGTGCATCCTGAACTTGTAAGTCTATTTCTTTCACCAGGTAGGGGAAGTTTTCTGTTATTATTTCTTCAAATAGGTTTTCAATATCTTGCCCTCTCTCTTCTTCTGGCACCCCTATAATTCGGATGTTGGTACGCTTGAAGTTGTCCCAGAGGCTCCTTACACTATCTTCATATTTTTGGATTCTTTTTTCTTTTTGCTTTTCTGGTTGGGTATTTTTTGCTTCTTTGTATTTCAAATCTTTGACTTGATTCTTGGGATCCTCTTGTCTGCTGTTGGATCTCTGTATATTATTCTTTATTTCAGTCAGTGTATGCTTAATTTCTAGTTGGTCTTTTTTCATATCCTCCAGGGTCTCACTAAATTTATCAGCGGTTTCTAGAAAATTCTTGAAAAACCTTATAAGTGTGGTTTTGAACTCTATATCCAGTAGTTTGCTTTCCTCCATTTCTGTCATTTGTGACCTGTTTCTTTGTCTCCACATTTTGGCTGCTTCCCTGTGTTGGTAGAGTGGCTTTGTGTGCTAGGTGTCCTATAGGGCCCAGTGTCTCAGCCTCCCCAATTACCTGAGGTGGACACTCTTGGTGCACCCCTTTGTGGGCTTTGTGTACAGTCTTGATGTAGTTAAGCCTTGATTGTTGTAGGTATCACTGGGAGGAATTGACCTCCAGGCCAATTGGCTGTGAGAATCAGTTGTGTCTACGGTGGGAGAACTTCTGTGTTGAAGACACCCTTATGGGGCAAGACTTGCTTCAGTGGGGCTTTGGTGCTCACTGAGTCTGCCCCCTGAGTGTGTCCCTTATGGATCTGAGGAGTTGTAATCTGGATGGTCCCACTCTGACCATTGGGTACACTGGCTCTTGGATCTAAGGAGGTGCTAATTTAGCCTCTGCCTGAGGCTACCCAGCAGGAGCTACGAAGAGATCTGCAGATTCCCCTTCCTTGTTTGGGGTTTGGAGGTGCCCAGATGAGGCCCAGTTGTGAAGCAGTGCAAGCTGCTGTGGGGCCTTGGGCCTTTTCTTGGAAGTTCTGGGTCTGTCTGGCCCAGCTGCAGTTTGTTAGATAATTTTCAGATTGCAAAAGGCCAGGGCATTCATATGCAAAAGCCTCTGCCACAGCTTGGGTGTGGCGGGGTCTCAGGGAATCAACAGGGTGGGGCAAACAGCTATGGCTGATCCTCAGCGCTGCCCTAAGAGGCCCCGCGTCTCAGTGTCCCGGTCGCTGCAAGCACCTCTGAGAGAAAGCCGCCCTCGAGTTCCGAGTTCTGCCCGCTGCCAGACAGTCCAGTTTCGCCCCGTATGAGTCTGGGTCCCCAGAGACTTCCCGGAACTGGAGTTCAGAGCAGTCGGGGGCTTGTGTCTCCCTCCCGATTCAAAAAGACAGCCGCATCCTCAGTTGCCAGCCTTGCCGCGTGCGCTTCCGTACCTCTGCACTTTATTTCCGCACCTCCTCTGAGTCTCAGTGTGCTTTTCTCTTTCCTTCTAGTTGTAGAATTTCCACTCAGCCAGCCTTCCTGTAGTTCTGGGTGATGTCCGTTTTGTCTTTTAGTTGTATTTTTGAAGTTGTTGTGGGAGGCAGCACTTTCCGTTGTTTACCTATGCTGCCATCTTGGTTTCTCCTAGAAATTTTTTGATATTTGCAACCATAGTAAAACAAAGACTTATATTTTTGATATTTATTTTATATATTTAAATGCCATTTAACAAAGAAAAATCAACCAAAAAAATGAGTTCGCATGTCACCTCTGACACGCGTGTCATAGGTTCACCATCACTGCTATAGTATGTCATTTATGACTCAAATGACATTTTTGCTGCTTATTTCTTAGCCGTTTGTTCATGTCTAATCTCATCAGTTGGAAAACAGGGATCATGTCTTTATACTTCATTGTATTTGGCATACTGATTTTCATACAGTATTAAATAGACATTTTATTTATTTACTTATTTAAATATATTTTTATTGGTTTCAGAGAGGAAGGGAGAGGGAGAGAGAGATAGAAACATCAATGATGAGAGAGAATCATTGATCAGCTGCCTCCTGCACGCCCCACACTGGGGATCGAGCCCACAACACAGGCATGTACCCTGACTGGGAATCAAACTGTGACCTCCTGGTTCATAGGTCGATATTTAACCACTGAGCCATGCTGGCTGGGCTAAATAGATACTGTAAAATGCTTTCATCATGGTAAGATCTACATGAGGAATAACCTAGAAGCTATATCCTTGAACACAGCATTCAGTAGTCATCCACCTTTACTTGATGCCATTTGTTAAATTTTCCCTGCCAATTATCACATTTCTCTCTTTTCCACAGCTCTTCCGACGTGTTGCAGCAGCTTTGCCTGGAATGGAAAGCACACAGGACAGAAGCAGAGAAGACAGTATCCTTTCTGTTTCATCAGAGAACGTTGTTGTTATCACTAGTCTTGACAGCTCCACTTGGTTGGCTAAGGAATATTATGGCATTGCTTTTTATAGTCAGAAATTGATGGTTGAAGAGCATAGAAGCTATGAGGTTTTTTTATAGCAAAACTAGTAGCCCGGTGCATAGATTTGTGCACATTGAAAGGAAAATAATTAGAAAAAATATTTTTAAAAATATATTTTATTGATTTTTACAGAGAGGAAGGGAGAGGGATAGAGAGTTAGAAACATTGATGAGAGAGAAACATCGATCAGCTGCCTCCTGCACACTTCCCCACTGGGGATGTGCCTGCAACCAAGGTACATGCCCTTGACCGGAATCGAATCTGGAACCCTTGAGTCCGCAGGCCGACGCTCTATCCGCTGAGCCAAACCGGTTAGGGCAGAAAAAATATTTTAATATTGCTATTTGCCCTTTCTCCCTCAGCACCTGGGAGCCAGGCCCTGCCACCTGCCACCCTGGCTGGTCGCAGCCTGCGGGACCTGATCGCACCCTATTGCCCCCACTGCCGCCCAGCTCCCAGGTGATGAGGAAGCAGGGCAGCAGCCCCACCACCCCTCCTGGTCACTGCCTGCGGGGACCAAATTGCCCTGCCAATCACCCTGCCACTGTCCAGCTCCCAGGTGCTGAGTGAGCCAGGCGGCACCACCGCTGCTGGTTGCCCTGGAGTCAGATCAGCATCGGGTCCTCACCTGGCTCCCTCAGCGCCTGGGAGCCCAGCGGTGGCAGGGCGATCGGGCCCCCACCTGGTGACCAGTGGCTCACACCCGCCTTGGCCTGGCGCCTCCCACTCACGTGCTCCATCATCTGCCCCGGTCCCGCTCTTGTTGGGACCCATTGGGGCCCGCTGCCAGCATGGCTTCGCCAACATCTGCCATGTTCCACGCCGCCCCCTGGTGGTCAGTGCACATCATAGCAAGCGGTCGAACTCCTGAAAGGACTCCCGGTTGAGGGGACAATTTGCATATTAGGCTTTTATTATATAGGATGAGATCTGGTTATCCAAGTGCAAACTTGCTCCCTGCTGTTCACTACAACTAATCAGTGAGAGAATTTGTATTCGTTTGCTTGGTTATTTATTTATTTTTAATCTTTATTGTTTATAGTGTTAACATATGTCCCTTTTTCTCCCCCATTGACCCCTTCTATCCTAGCCCCACCCTAGGCTTTCACCACCCTATTGTCTGTGTCCATGGGTTATGTATATATGCATACAAGTTCTTTGGTTGAACTTTTCCTACCCACCCACTCTCCCCTACCTCCCCACTGAGATTCCACAGTCTTGCTTGATTTTTAATGAGCAGGGAACTCTTAGAAATCCAGTCTTTTCTTTTTTGAGCCTCACCCAAGGATATGTTTTTTTATTGATTTTTAGAGAGCAAGGGAGGGAGGGAAAGGGAGAGAAAGAAAAACATCGATCGGTTGCCTCCCATATATGCCCTAACCGGGGATCGAACCTGCAACCTTTTGGTGTACGGGAAGATGCTGCAACCAACTGAGCCATCCGGCCAGGGCCCAGCCTTCTTAAATTTTACTCCTATTGACTCTGTACATTTACCCCATAGTATGTATCATATTTTCCTCCCCTGCTTTTTCTAACATTCAAGTTTTCTATTTGGCCTAGGCAGGAAATAACTCTGTTTGGAACTTTATTGTGGCTTCTGCTTTCAGAAACAGAACATAATGAAGCACATCAAATATCAATTTTTTTCAAAAGATTTTGAATTTTGATATTTTCATTATTTGTTGTATATTTATCTTCTAGTGTTTTTCCATATACAGACATTTTTATTAAGCCATAGAATTTAAGCACTTTGTGTTCAGCGCATCCCTCTTCTAAAGGTTTTATGTTTTCTAAGCCATTATTACTTCTAATAGCATAATGTATTCCACAGAATTAAGTCCCCATCATTTATTAAATTCTCTCCCTGTTGTTGGAACTCTCTTGTAGGCTAGTTTCAGATTTTTATTATAGATAATTCCATAAGGAACATCATCTTAATAGGGTTTCTTGTTCCTGTAGAACAGTTTCCTTAGGATAAATCCCATGAATAGAGAGGTTAACCTTATTCTGACCCTGGCTGCATATAGTAGAATATAAGCAAGTTTATATTATTAGAGCACTTTGTTGTATGGTGAGCTAGCTAAATAGAAAGTAGTGTCTGTTAGTAGGAATGGAAGGGAGGGGTTGCCAGAGATATCAGTGTTGAGCAGAATTGGAATTGTACTTTCCCATTTATAGGTCCTTAACTTTTGTTTCAGTGATTGACATAAAACTGGAAAAGCCTCAGGATCAACCAGTCAGCGAAGGAGGCTGTTCCTGCTAATCCCTCTTGGCCTCTTCAACTTTTCTCCAGAAGCTCACTGCTTTGGCCCCCTTACTCTTTCATTGACTGCAGTGTGAATATTGGCTTGAACCTTTTCCCTTCAGTAATAACGTATTGCAATTCTTCATTGCTGCCTGTCTCGTGGAGATGATCTATTAGCTTCACAAGCACAAAAAAGTCAGTGTCTATATTATTTATATTTTACAAAAAGTCAAACAATTCCAGCATATTCCAGTGATCATTTTAAACATTAGATACAGTTTCTTAACTTTTTTTTCCTTTTTAATGTTATGATAATGCACTTCAAAATGATGGAAATCTCAACAGTATGTGGCTTGGTTAAGGAATAGCTGTTCACAGCAGCATTTGCCTACCTACTTGACCTCTCCCTGCTTTTTTCATCTCTCCCTTACCCATTTCCTATTCTTACTCTCCACTCCTAAAAACAAACAAGAGGTGGCAAAGCATCAGTCAGACCAAGCTCATTGGAATTATCTTTAAATTTTAGTGATACCACTTGTTTTAGGCCTTGGGTCAAGATGTCCAAAATTATTCTTGAGCACTGAAGTAAATTATTTAGACTTTATTTGAGGTCAAAACTCAATTATCATGGTAGGCAGTACTCAAATAAGTGTTCTGGTGCATCTTTAAAATGAGTCCTAATGAACATAGTACTTACAAGTAATGAACAAAAAATTTATTTCTGACCAAAACTAATGACACTTTCACATGTTAGATTCTGGGAGAGAAAAGTAAAACAGAACAGGTTTTTTTATATTTAATTTTTCTAATGAACTGTCTCTTCCAAGATTCTAAAATTGTCAGAATAGAGTTCTTCTGTTTATTTAAAAGAATTTTTTTAAGCAATAGATTTCTCCTGTTTTTTTTTGTGGTTTTTTTTTTAATGCTGTGCAGGCAAGGCACTATAGAAATAAAATTCCTTTAAGAACCAGTGGAAGAATTTAAATTTGGCACCTTGGTCAAAACTACTATATCCAGTAGAAATGATGATATCTAAAGCTTACCAACAAAAGAATCCTTAACAGAATAGCAAATACTTTGCTCAGGATATTTGGGATCAGATTGAAAATGGCAGGTTTTCTTAATAAGCCCCTAGAGGCAGATCTGGAAAAGCATACACAGAAGAGGATAAGAGAGAATGGAAATAAAACTCAATATTATTGCAGATTTATGCCTTATTTTTTAGCTTTTTTAAATGTTGGGTCTTTCAGGCTGGTTTTGCTTTTTATTAGATCTATTGTATAGTTTGGTTAATTAACTAGTAATTTAGTTTTATATTTAAGCTACAATTAATCTTCTTTCTTTGGTGATATTTATTTCTTTGCCTTTATTAAAACTACTTTTAATTATTAGATGTTTTGTTTAATCTATTTAGAGCTTCATCACCATGGCAATATGTATTTCCCTTAAAACACTGCAAACAAATATACTAGGAGTGCACCATTTCAATCTTTACTAGTTATTGTGAGATTGCTGTGTAAGTTAAACACGTTTGTAAATACATTATTTGCAGGAAGAAATTTTCTGAGTTATGGCTCGGGAAAAGCCTGCTGAATTTATGTTGTAAGCATTACTTAACACAGTATAAAAATGGAAAAAAACAAAAGTATCTTCATACTTCCTCATCCCCTCATTACAACAAAACCCTTAACTGGGAGAACCTTATTCCCCTCTCTTTCCTCTTCCTCCTCCACTTCCCATTTATTATCACCTTCTAATATTCAGAGAGCACTTGATAATGGGTCTGAATAGAGAAATGTTTTAAGATAATCATTAGCCCACATACCAGTAACTTATACTCAAAGATGGGATGGAGTTGTAAAGTGCTTTTATAAAACAATATTATTGTTAAAGGCAAGGGTTGACTCTTTTGTTTTATTTTGACATGGCATGTCCTGAAATAAATATCAATTCAATATGGCAAATGGGTCATATTCTTTATTTGAAAGAAGTTGTGATTTCTGACATGGGGGTGATTGATTTCCTACACTGTAGCATTTGATTCTTTTTATGTATCTTTAAGACAGTAGTAACCAGTATGCTGCTTTTAATATTGGTATTTTGATTTAGCTTAGGGTTCTTCAACTGAAGCAGTAAAATGTATTCATAGACCAGATTTTTTTTTTAAATAAACACAATTTTGCTGCCAAAAATATATAAATAAAATACAAAAGAAAACAATTATTGACTTGGTTTCCCATTCCTGCCAAGGTTGTAAATTAACATGTGCTTCTACTTCTTCTCTAGAACTATAAAGGGGAACATAGAATCCAGGAAAATAAAACAACAAAAAGTGAGGGAGAGTGGCTGCAACTTGAAAAACAGGGCCACTGATGGAGGCAATAATAGGATGTATTAAGAAAAGTAGTTTAAGCCCTAGCCGGTTTAGCTCAGTGGGTAGAGTGTCAGCCTACGGACTGAAGGGCCCCAGGTTCGATTCTAGTCAAGGGCACATGCCTAGGTTGTGGGCTTAATCCCCATAAGGGGCGTGCCAGAGGCAGCCGGTCAATGATTCTCTCTCATTATTGATGTTTCTATCTCTCTCTCCCTCTCCCTTCCTCTCTGAAATCAATAAAAATATATCAGTATTTAATGTTGCCTTTTTCACCTTTAGAAATTTAGGTGGGTGTATAGTGGTATCACATTTTAATTTAAAAATCGGTAAAAATACTGTGCTGACCAAACAAATGGGTGAGCCAGATGTGGTTCATGGGGCACCTCCAGATTAGACTGTGTTGTCTGTGAGGGTTAATGTTTCTCTTCAAGAATCCTATATAATAAAAGGGTAATATGCAAATTGACCCTAATGGCTGAACGACAGGTCGCTATGACATGCACTGACCACCAGGGTGCAGATGCTTAATGCAGGAGCTGCCCCCTGGTGGTTGATGTGCTCCCACAGGGGGAGCTCCACTCAGCCACAAGCTGAGCTGACAGCTGCGAGCGCAGTGGCAGTGGTGGGAGCCTCTCCCACCTTCTTGACAGCGCTAAGGATGTCCTGCGGCTCAGGCCCACTGGCCTAAGCTGTCAGTTGGACATCCCCCAAGGGCTCCTGGGCTGCCAGAGGGATGTCTGACTGCCAGCTTAGGCCCAATTCCCCGGGGAGCGGGCCTAAGCCAGCAGGTGGACATCCCCGAGGGGTCCTGGACTGAGAGAGGTGCAGGCCTGGCTGAGGGGCCCCCCCCCCTCCCAGTGCACAAATGTTTGTGCACCAGGCCTCTAGTTTATATATATAAAAACCTAAGCGACTGTTAAGGCTGGCCGGCTGGTAGCTATGACGCACACTGACCACCAGGGGACAGACACTCAATGCAGGAGCTGCCCCCTGGTGGTCAGTGCACTCCCACAGCCAACCTCCCGTGGTTCCTCCTCCCAGCCGGCCACCCCGATCGGCCCTGAGCAGGACTGGGCGAGATGGCCCCGATCGCCGGCCAGGCAGAGGGACCCCACCTGTGCATGAATTTGTGCACTGGGCCTCTAGTAATTTTATAATTGTTGGACAGCTGGAAGATAAAAATTCATGCTGCAATACTGTTAGTGGAGAGATTTTGAAGCGAACTGCATTTGGAGCATCCATTTGCATCCCTCTTGCCCTGTACAGTGGGGTGAGTGTTAAGAACCATAGTGTTATCAGGATGATGGCAAATGGTAACCCTGAAGCTGTAGAGGCACAAAGAAAAGAGCCCTTAAACCCAGTTGTGGGAGGTTCTTTATAACCTGGCCACATTCACCACCCCCTCTCACCATACAACTTGCTGTGACAACAGACTGTTTTCTGAACTTCATAGTGCTCTCAAGGCCAATGTGTTCCAGGGCCTTTGTTCATGCCATTTCTTCCATCTGTTCTTTCTGTGTGGAAAGCTCTCCCTTCTGTACTTGGCAAGCTCTTACTCATTCTGCAAGGTTCACCCAGAATTTTTACTTCCTCTCCCAAAGCTTTCCCCAGTTCCCTTAGAGTTGGATACCTCCTCCTCAGAGGCACTGTGTTCCTCTCTTACCTCATTGAATCGATGTTGACGTCTCCCTCCTCTCAGTTGATGTATCTGGGAATATGGCTGAAGTGGACACCTGAGGTTTTTGCCACCCATCTCACATCTGTTTATCCTACTTCTGGGAACAGTGCCCTAACTTTCCTTTCAGACAGCACCCATCCCTTCTCAGAGCCCTGTTGTTTTAGACCATCTTTCCCAGATCACCTGCAGCCTCAAAAGGCCTGATGCAAGATGGTTGTATTTCCTTCCCTGACAACCTGGTCTCTGGGACCAACTCACTGTAGAAGGACGAGAACGTATTGGGAAAGACCCCAACACTACAGAACTCTCAGAAAGCAGGCTCACCCATTAGCTCAGGTGACAGACACCCTGATAATAGCCTCTCTCTTGAGCCCTCAGGGATAGCCAACTTCAGCTTGCTACCTTATGGGCGGGGGAGGGAAAGCAAGAATCAGAAAGGTTATTTGCCCCAAACTGCTCAGCTAACATGCTCTCACGAGTTCTACCTGACCTCACAACCCACACTTCTCACTACACCAGAGAAAGCACTCGTAGGTGCTGAGTCATGGAGATGACCTAGGCCCTGGGGTCCCTAGGGGGACAGGGCCCAGGGAGAACAAACAGAGCCAGAGCCAGGGCTAGAGCCAACACATCTTTATTAGTCTCTGCAGCAGGGCACTGGAGCCCCTATCTACAGGGAAACTTTTGCAGGCTACTCTGGCTACTGGGCAGGAACATTAGCATTTCTGTGGTGATTGGGACAGGAGACTGGAAGGAGACCAAATGGGGAGACTACCGGACAACCAGCAGGGAGGCACATGTGGGGGGGCCTTCTGAGCTGAGACAAAGGTAGATTATGCCCCAGAAGTGAACACTGCCATCTTCCCCAGAGTGAAGGAGGAGACAAACCCTAAGAGGGTGATAGCCACAGCTGTGGGCACAGGGCCAAGCCTCTGGGGAGCAGAAATGCATTTCCTGATGGAGGATCCTAGGGCTGGAGGTCCCAAACAGGTGGGAAACAGGTGTTTTCTGGACACTGAAGGAACAGGGAACCCAGTAAGCTGGTAGTGGGAAGGATGGGGCTAAATGTACAGTGTTTTGGGTTTGGTATGTGTTAAAAAAACAACAGGCAATATCTTCATTTATTATGAAACTTCCTCTGAAGAAACCTCACATCTCCCCCTTACTCAGCAACCTTCTTAACCTAGAGGGGTATAATGATCTGACCCCTGCCTCCCCCCCCCCCCCCCAGCCCTTTTATATGCCATGATGGTCATGGCTCTGCACTCTTGCCAACAACCTTACTTCTATCCTGCATTCCTTACTCTCTGCCCTCTTACTGTCAAAGGACTGATAACTCTGCATTGTCAAGTGTGTACAGCTGTTTTCCCCCCACCAGGCCTGGAGCCACCACAGGAAGAACCTGACTTCTGTGTCTCCAGCACCTGGGAAACTTGAAGCCACAGTTGTTTTTTGTGCCCTGTTGTGTTTGGGGCAAATATATCCATGTGCCTATAATGGATTTCTGGGGTGTCTGGCAGTAGAGACAAGGATTTTAGTTAACGTTTGTGCCTCGGATGGTAGCTTCTTCCCTTGTTGGGGTTGAGGGTGGGGAGTAGGAGGGGGAGATCCAAGCTTCGCATGGCTGAGAGGAAGAGGCCAAAGTTGGGCAGGGCTTGGGTGGAGGGGTGGGGCAAGGAGTAAACTATGCGCAGGGTCCACGCGCTGAGTCTCAGGGCTCAGAACCAACAGGGCGACCACATGAGCGAGCCCAGCGCCGCACCGGTGGCCGCCCCCGCGAGCACGCCCATGGCCAGCGGGGCTCCCGAGCTGTAGCAGGGATCGTCCCGCACTACCACGTGCGTTACGCCTCCGGGGCCTGCGGAGAGAGCCGTTGCGAGCCGGAGAATTCAGACGAGGGAGCAGAGCCCGACCCAAAGTAAGGCGCTGAGCCCAGTGCTCTGTTCCCGAGTCGGAGAAACTGAGGCCTTAACGTGGGAAAGAAGTGCGGCCCGCCCACGGCTTCCAGGCCTTGGGTCTGCTGTGGACGTGGGCTAGGATGGAAAGGCGAGGAAACCCCGGGATCTCTAAGAACCTCCAGACCACATCTGGGGGGAGCCATTCCCGCATTAGCCACCAGGGGTCATTACCAGCTCAGGAACGGGTATTGAGCGGCCTGAGAAAAAGGCGGCCTGGAGATGTGAGTCCGCCCTGGGATGGGAAGGGGCTCCGATCCAAGTGCTAGTCCGCGTTTGGGGATGGGGAGGGCCCTGTGGAGGGTTCTGCCTGAGAAATCCTTGGTCACTAAAAGGGTGGGGCCTGACTCGGGCCTGGCCCTGGATAGAAGCAGGAAGCTGGGCGGGCCAGAAACTTACCTGGGTAGGGCTGTCCGTAGGGCGGTCCGTAGTAGCTTCGAACATATGTGGTCTCGTGCGCGTTGGGGGACATCACCTCATAGTAGTCCTGGTACGGGCTGTAGATACGCACCTGGGGAGCCCTGCCAGGTTAGCTGCCTGGGAATTCCCTGGCCCGGGTTTGGTCCCGTACCCACTACACCCAGCTCAACCCCCTCTGGACCCATGGAGCTGCCTCCCCAAGTTTAGAAATGGGTCCCCAGGGACCAGCAAACTCATGGAGAAAAGCCCTGCCTCTCCACCAGGCCAGGGTCCTTGTATTCTAAAGCTCAGCCTCTATATCCAGGTCCTCGTGAGGCCATGTTCTGCCCTGGCCTCCCACCTAGCACTCCCCAAATCAAAAATTCTCCATGGTGCCCGGCTGGTGTGGCTTAGTGGACTGAGCGTCATCCCATGCACCAAGAGGTCACCAGTGTGATTCCTGGTCAGGGCAGGTGCCCAGATTGCGGGCTTGATCCCCAGTAGGGGGTGTGTAGGAGGTAGCCGATTGATAGTTCTCTCTTATTGATGTCTCTCTCTCCCTCACCCTTAAAAAAAAAATCAATTAAAACATACTTAAAAACCATGTTCAAAATAATTCTCCATGGCTTCCAACTTCCTTCATAGATAGTCTGATATTTGCTAGCAGCTCTCCAAAGATTCCACTTAGAGCAGTGGTTCTCAACCTTGGCTGCACATTAGAATCACCTGGGAATCTTTTTAAAATCCTGATTTCTGTGCCTCATCCTCCAGAAATTCTGTTTCTTTGTTATGGGGTGGGGCCACAACATTAGTAACAAAGAAACAGAATTTCCGGAGGATGAGGCCCAGAAATCAGGATTTTAAAAAGATTCCCAGGTGATTCTAATGTGCAGCCAAGGTTGAGAACCACTGATTTAGAGAAACCCGATGAATTTCTCTACTCTCCTAGTCATGGAGAGGGAGTCCTGGCCAAGCCCCAGGCCAGGAAATAAAAAGAGGGTTGGGGAGGAAGGAATGGAATTGATCCAGTAGGGAAAGGAAGTAATTAAAGTATTATTGAGCATCCACCATGTACCAGGCCTGAGGGAGGTGTTCACAGTTACCTCCTCTGTTCCTTACCACAGTCATTATTATCTCCACATCACCACAGAGCAAGGGATGGAGGCTCAGAAAATGGCCAATGTTCTCCGGGGGGGAGGAATGCAGTCCCTGCCCCCTTTGTTCCCCATTAGATTTTTACTAACCCCTCCAAGCCTAACTCAAAAGTCACCCACTCCAGGAAGCCCTTCTGGGCTCAGAAAGAATCCTTTCTGAGTTCTCTGTGAGCTGTGCTTGTGCCTCTTATTCCTAGCCTTCCTCTGGGCCTTTCCTGCTTGCACCCCAAATGTAAGCTACCCATAGGCAAGGACTCTGATGTGTGTCACCAGCAGGGTCTAGTGCAGGGGTTCTCAACCTGTGGGTCGCGACCCCTTTGACGGTCGAACGACCCTTTCACAGGGGTCGCCTAAGACCATCCTGCATATCAGATATTTACATTACGATTCATAATAGTAGCAACATTACAGTTATAAAGTAGCAACGAAAGTAATTTTATGGTTGGGTCACAACATGAGGAACTGTATTTAAAGGGCCAGAAGGTTGAGAACCACTGGTCTAGTGTATGCTAAGAATATATGCTGAATTAAATGGTAGCTCCTAGTCCAAGCCTCTCATTTTACCTACAGAGAGCAGACCTGGAGAGGGGGCAGAATCCCCTTCTCTCCTGGCTCCTCCTTGGCCACCCTTCCACCCTATATCTCTTTCTAACTGGGCTTCACACCTGAATGGTCCAACTCCCCTTTGAAGTCCAGGTGTCTTAAACTCCACCCATCTCAAAGTGATTTTATCATCCTTTCATCCCCCGCAACCTGCTCTTCTGTAAATTCTTTTCTCTAAATGCCACTACTATGCACTCAAACCAAGACATCATGTTGGCACCCTTGTCTTCACACACTCATCTTCCACATCATATCAGCCAACAGGTCACATGACTTTATCTTCTAAATATGCTCTTCTGTCCATCTTTTTGGCCAGTGCCAAGAGAATAAGCCATTAGTTTTGGCAACTGGGAAGCTGTGGGTGACCTTGAAAAAAAATAGCTTTCAGAGGAGTGATTGGGAAAAGAAGCCAGACTATAGGGAATTAAAGAATGACTGAGAGGTGAGGGATGGAACCAACATATCATGACATCTCTTTCAAGAAGTTTAGCTGTAGCCCTGGCCAGTGTTTCTCAGTGGTTAGAATGTTGGCCCATGCATCAAAGGGTCTTGGGTTTGATTCACGGTCAAGGGCACATACCTAGGTTGCAGGTTCCATCCCCGACTGGGTCAGGGTAGGTGCAGAAGGCAACCAATTGATGTGTCTCTCTCACATGAATTTTTTATCTCCTTCTTTCTCTCTTTCTCCCTCCCTCCTCCCTTCCACTCTATAAATATTAATGAATGAAGAAGAAAAAATCCTTGGGTGAGGATTAACAAAAAATAAAATATAGCCGAACCGGTTTGGCTCAGTGGATAGAGCGTCGGCCTGCGGACTGAAGGGTCCCGGGTTCGATTCCGGTCAAGGGCATGTACCTTGGTTGCGGGCACGTCCCCGGTGGGGGGCATGCAGGAGGCAGCTGATCGATCTCTCTCATCAATGTTTCTGACTCTCTATCCCTCTCCCTTCTTCTCTGTAAAAAATCAATAAAATATATTTTAAAAAAATAAAATATAGACTTCAAGGAGGTTAAAAAAACACAAGCTTAGCTGTAAAGGGGAGTTCTCCATGCCATTTCCCAATGATGGGGAGCTTGCCTTCCTCACCTTTTTTTATTCAACTACCTAACCTGTCATTCAGAGTCAACTCCAGTATTACTCTCCCTGAACCTCAGGTTCTGGTGGGCTCCCATCTGGGCACTCACTGGCCTTAGAGTTTCCTCATCACAGCAAAGCACCAGTCACTTGGTAGTGTCATTGTTTGTGAGTGTGAATCTCTCTCATCAGACTTGTAGACACCCTCTCATCACCACCAAAGGCAGCCCCTGGGTCTAACCAGGCCTGATTGGAACAGGTAGGTGCCTAATATACTGAATATACTGAATATATCTCAAGTGAATCAAATACAGGGTCAGACTGGAACTAAGGTCATCCAATCAATCCAGTTTCAAGTTAGGGACAATGACCAGACCCAGGGCAATGCAGGAGACTCAGACAAACAAAGCTCAGTCTCAAGTGACTTCCCTCACTGTGCTCCTTCCCCAAGGGTGATCCAATAGGGATTTCTGGTGGGGGTGGCCAGGATTTGAGCTCCAAGCCTAGAAGGGGCTAGAGAGATCTAAGCACTCAGATCCCGAATTTTATCGGTAGGGAAGTTGAGGTCCAGAGTGTATACCTCTGCAGCTGCACAGGAAGCCAGTGGCCCTGTCAGGCCCTGGAGAGAATGGAAAACACCACTTTGTGTCCCTGTGGGCCTCCTGTTTCTACTCTCCAGGCCTGGGAGGCTCAGAGGTAAAGTCATGTGGGTCACCTGGCAACGGAGCAGGGGATCCCCCGAGACCTCATGGACAGAAGAACCAAAGGACTCGATTCCTGGTCCTCCCCTCTCTGCAGGCCTAGACCCTTTTATGAGTGGGGGCAGGGTCATGTGATTCAGGTTATATGAAAATAGATCCCTTCCCTCAGAAAAACTGTTGTGTACTTATTGTAATATTTTAAAGATTCACAGCCTTTTTAAAAAATCCTCATCCGAGGATATTTTTTTCATTTATTTAAAATTTTTTTTTCTTTAGAGAGAGTGGATGGGAGGGATGGGGAAAGAGAGAGAGAAATATCAATGTGAGGAGACATCAATTGGTTGCCTCCTGCACGCCCCTGGCCGGGGCCAGAACAAACCTGCAACCATGTACTTGCCCTTGACCGGGAATTGATCTCAAGACCCTTTGGTCCATGGACTGACACTCCACCACTGAGCAACACTGACCAAGGAGGTTTACAATCTTTTATATCCTATTTTTTGGAATCCCCACTGTAAACAAACTTGAATCATAGTTTGGGAATGGCAGATCCTCAGAATACTGGGCTGGAAGTCCAAGCCCTGCTACTGATGAATTAATTAAGTGACCCTGGTCAAGTTATGACCTCTCAGAGCTTCAATTTTCTCGTCTGTAAACAGGGACAGTCCTACACTGCTCACTCCTGAGCCACAGTGAGAATCCAGCAGAGCCACGTCTAAGCAACTGGCTGGTCCTAGTACTTCTGGGCTCAGTGGTTCTTGTACATTAGAATCACCAAGAGAAATTTTTAAACCAGATTTCCAAAAGCCAAACCTGTGGTATTAGAGCATCCAGAGGTAAGATCTGAACATTTCCGGGTTGTTTTTTTTTTTTAAGTCCTTAAGCGATTCTAATGCACAACCACACTGATCACCGCTGTGCTAGAAAAGGAGCTCACAGTTGACTATAAGACCACAGGTACTCTATGGCCCCCCCCCCCCCCCCCCGTGCCCTGGCTGAGCACTGGGGAGAGGATTCATCCCTAAATCCTGCATTCCAGAAACACGGGGGGTGTGCAGGGAGACAGATAGGGAATAAATGATAATATGCCATAATAGGTTTTTCACTTCTTCCTCCCTCCCTTTGTTCATTCACTTGTTTGCTCATTCAGTACACATTGCCTTGGGCCTACTTGTGCCTGACCTTGTGCACCAGGAATAAGGAGGGTCAAAATAGACTCTCTCTCCATCACTGAGTAGTCATTGACCTGCTGTATACCCAGCACTGTGCCAGGCTCCATAGGGCAGAGCTGATCAGACCAGGTCCTTGCCTTGGAGGACGTTCCAGGTCTCATGAGAGAACAAAGACAAATAAACAGGATGGAAACCAGGCAGAATGAAGACAGTGCTGCGCATCAGTGCAGTGGGATGTGGGAGGGAGTGACGATGCCTGGAGGCCTGGGAGTCCTCCCTGAGGAGGTGGCAGCCTTTGGAGTGGGTCTTAGAGGATACACATCAGTTTGTCAAGTGAATATGGAAACTAAGGGTTTTCACAGCAGAGAGAACAGCATGTGCAAAGGCTGGGAAGGAAGAAAGGTCTAGAGCAGCCAGGACAGAGGGTACAGCAAAGCAGTTGGAGCACAGGAGATGAGGGGCCTGTGTAGAGAAGACTGGCTCAGGCCAGATCCCGAGGCCTTGAAAGCAGGGTTGTGGTTGGTGTCCGATGGATGACGGGAGCCAAGGAATGTTTGTGAGCCAGGAAGGGATGTGACCAGGCCCAGTTTGGGAGGCACATCCTGGTGGCCAGGATGGAGGCAAGAAGGGCTAAGTCAGCACTTACCCAGATTCGCCTCTCAACATTACAGGGGCTCCAGGAGCTGGTCACACACCTGACCTTGGGGCAAACCCGGCGGCTTCTGGGAGGGACGGTGGCTCCAGCTGGGGCCTGCTCAGGCCACAGAAACCCAAGAAGGGGGAGGAAGGAGTTATCAGAGGCTCTCTACATCTGGAGAGACTCACAGTTCTTAATAGGCCCTACCAGAGCCCTCTGCCAGCTGGGCAGGGGCTGGGGTGTCTTCTTCCTCCTCACCCATGGTAAAGGGGGGAGCCTGGGAGGGGGGGTGATTTTGCCAAAGTTACTCAGAAAAGAAGGATCAGTAGCATCTCTCCAGAATTAGCCCACCTTCACGTGTTTCAGGCTGCTGAGGCTCCCATCTCCAGGGAGGACAAAACAGCTATGACCTGCCCTTCCAGCCACCTGCCCCCTCACTGGCCCCCCAGCCTTGCCCCTGGCCCTGTGTTCCCTAGAACCCCCACCCAGAGCAGGGTATAAACCTGCAGCATGAGAAGAGATAAAGTGCAGGTCACTCCTGCATAGGTACAAGACAGAGAAGCCCCCACACAGGCATGAACACGCAGAGACAGGCAGACACTGGTACAAAGACACAGAGACACAAACACACCCCCCTTGAGAAGCTCTGGGACCGGAGGGATGTGTGTGTGTGTGTGTGTGTGTAGAGCAGTGGGGGGTGGAGTAGAGGGTCAGAGAAGGAGGTGTGGTAAGCAGAGCAGCAGGAAGGCGGGCAGGAAGAGAAGGGTCAAGGCAGCTTCATAGAGTCACAGAGTGCAGAACGGTCAGCTCTCACCTCCTTCCTTGCGTCTCTCAGGAGGGACTGATTTGCCCTGTATAAGGGGGATTTGGAGCTCAGAGCCAGTTTAGCCCAACTGGGGTCCCTCCACCTCCGTCCTACTGACCACTGCCCAGCCTCCTCACCCCTAGCTTCCTCTAATCCAGCCTTCACCCAGAAGCGTGAGTCTGCTCCCCAAAGTTTGACCACATTCCTTCCTGCTTAGAGACCTTTACTGCTCCCCACAACCCTGGGGTAAAGTTCAGTTCCTTTAACTGGACTTTAAGGCCCTTTGTGACCTAGCTCCTCAGAGGTCATCTTTCCCTCCGCACATTACCCTCCGGCCAGGCCAGACCCCTGGCCCTGATACACACGTGCGCACATACACACACATGCACATGTCACCTCCCTGCCTCTGCTCATGCAATTTCACTCAAAATCTCACACTGACCTGGATTCCAATACAGGCTTTTTCACTGACTTAAAATGACGAGACTTTGGACACATCACTCCCTCTGAACTTCAGCTTCCCTATCTGTACAATGGGGCTGAAAACACCACCCCCTACCAGCAGATGCCTAAGGGGGTTTCTTTGTTTTTTTTTTTGTTTGTTTGTTTTTTTTAAATATATTTTATTGATTTTTCACAGAGAGGAAGGGAGAGAGATAGAGAGTCAGAAACATCGATGAGAGAGAAACATCGATCAGCTGCCTCCTGCACATCTCCCACTGGGGATGTGCCCGCAACCCACGTACATGCCCTTGACCGGAATCGAACCTGGGACCTTTCAGTCCGCAGGCTGACGCTCTATCCACTGAGCCAAACCGGTTTCGGCATGTTTTTTAATGTTATGTTTTATTAAGACCTTTTATATCTATACCAGGTCTGAAGGGGTTTCTAAATGCACCCCCGTTTTCCCTGCTACTTCCCAGGGACTGCCTCTCAAGATGAGCAGGACTCCACTGTACCACAGATAGGAGGAGCAAGCACGGAATCTGGAGACAGGCAGATGGGGGTCAAGGTAAGTTGGGCCACTGTTGAGCTAGGGGCTTTGGACAGCTCCTCAAACCCACACCTCATGAAGTTCTGTTGGCTCTACCTCTTACACATGCCTTATCCTCGTCAGCTTGTCTCCGCCAGCAAGGCCTTAGTCCAGTCCTCCAGCCAGTCGCCTGGACACTGTCCCAGCCTTCTAACTGGTCTCCAGGATCCACTTTTACCCTCTACTATCCATCTCCTACCTACCAGCCAGACTATCTTTTTAAAAATACAAATCTCGTCTGACCTATTCGTGCCATCCCTCTGCTTAAAAACTTTCAATGACTTCCTGATGCTCTTCGGAGAAACACATCCTTAACACAGCCCGCCATGCCCTGCCAACCCTCCTTCCCCACTGCCCTCTCACTCCCTGAGCTCCTGCCACCCAGCCTTCTTTTTGTTCTTCAACTTGCCAAAGTCTTAATCCCTCTAGGGCAGTGGTTCTCAACCTTCTGGCCCTTTAAATACAGTTCCTCATGTTGTGACCCAACCATAAAATTATTTTCGTTGCTACTTCATAACTGTAATGTTGCTACTGTTATGAATCGTAATGTAAATATCTAATATGCAGGATGGTCTTAGGCGACCTCTGTGAAAGGGTCGTTCGACCACCAAAGGGGTCTCGACCGACAGGTTGAGAACCGCTGCTCTAGGGCCTTTGCACATGCAGTTCCCTCTTCCTGGAAAGCTGTTCCATTCACCCCACCCCACCCCTTTCACCCAGTCTATTTGTGTATACTTCAGGTCTCAGTGTAAGCCTTGTCTGAACTCCCATCTGAATCAGGCCTCCAGGGTGGTCACAAACTGAATGTACACTGCATGTCTCTATCAGAGCAGTTGCCACCATTGCAATGGAACAAACAACCGTATAATTAGTTGCTTCACATCTGGCTTCCCAGTAGGCTGAGTCCAGGAGGGCAGGGCCCACATCTCCGGAGCACACCTCTGATCCCTCGCCCTTGGCACAGTGCCTGGCATGTAGTAGAAAGTCAGTAAACGTTTGCTGTGTACATGAATGAAACTCAGTCATCATTTGCAGAGAGGACTGATGTGAGGAATAGCTGGAATTGCATCTGTACCGCACCTGGCACATAATAGTTGCTCAATAAAAGACAGTTCCTTTCCCCCAGCTCACATGCCATCCCCTTCTTGGAGGCCTCTCTCCCCCTCCTCTGAGCACCAGTGAACCATCTTCTGTCCTTTCCTACTTGAGACTCAGGGCATCAGAGTCTGCACAAGTCAATTCACTCACATACAGTGGCACCTCAGTTCTCAAACTTAAGTCATTCTGGAAGGCTATTCGAGAAAGCGATTTGTTCAAAAACCAAATCATTTTTTCCTATTAGAAATAATGTAAATTGAATTAATTTGTTCCAGACCCCCAGATGATTCCGTTTGTTTGTTTGTTTGTTTGCTTATTTTTTTTTAAATGGTACAGCTACTTTATTTTTTATTTTTATTTTTTAAATCCTTACCCGAGGATATTTTTTCATTGATTTTTAGAGAGTGGAACAGAGAGGGAACGACAGAGAGAAATATCGATTTGAGAGAGACACATTGATTGGTTGCCTCCTGCATGAGCCCCGACCAGGGCCGGGGCCAGGGAAGAGCCTGCAACTGAGGTACATGCCCTTGACGGGAATCAAACCCAAGACCCTTCAGTTCACAGGCCCATGCTTTATCCACTGAGCCGAACCGGCTAGGGCATGATTCCCTGTTTTAACCTTTCTTATATACAGTCCATGTCTAATGTACTGTTTAACCTATAAACAAACACTTCTTTTCTTACATTTATTGAACCCCTACTCGCCTTCCGTGAACCACTTGTAGCACTTTTCCAGGGGCCTTTCAGGAAGTCAGCATGTGATCTTCCCTTTTTCATCACATGTTGCTGCCTCAAAATGCTGTCACTGGCTAACTGCTTTTTGTTTATCCAAATCAACAATTTTTCTAACTCTTCAGTGGCCTGTGGTCATTGTTTCTTTCACACCCCTAGCAACATTAGCACTCTTGATGGCCCCTTTATGTTTTAAAATTGTGCTAGTTGTCCATTTTGCCAGCAAAAACAAACCAACCAACCAACAAAAAACCTACAAAAAATATTCACAGCACAATTTCCTTGTTAACAATGCAAGGTTTAGCAGTAGACTCCAATTCTCTCCTTTGCTTGTGGCCTGAGAGATGCATTTTGGCATGCTGATGTATCAGCATGAAAGGGTTGTCAGGGCCAGAACTGAAGTTTTATTCAAGGACCGAGACATTTTTCCCATGAACCAAATTGTCCCAGATGGGAGTCGTTTGAAAACCAAGGTTTGACTGTATATGGGAATTGAGAACTCCTGGCAGGCGGAGACCGAGTCTGAATCACCCATGATTCCATGGCAGGTAGGGGTGGGGAGGAGAGAAAGAGGGGATGGGGGCTCACCGGGGTGGAATTCGCCTCCAGCAGCGCAGTCTTCCAAGCTCTGCAAAGCAAACCCCACCACACTATGAGGGAGGGTTGGAAGAAGGGGGATGAGCCCCTACATTTTAGATTTAATTCCCTCACCCAGACTCTTGCCCCACTTTGGGGGAGGAGGGTAAGATCCTTTGAACATACAAAGGTGACCCCCTCCCCTGCCCCAGTCACATGGACAGAGCCCTCAGTTGAGCTGGAACCTCGGAATTCATTCGTAGTCCATAGTTTTTACCCTTTAGAAGGTCCAGTTTCCCCATGTAGACAACAGACAACTGGGCATGGGGGTCTCTTCGGGGCCTTCAGATTCTGACATGCCTAGGCTGGTCACTCTAGCTGCAGTGCCCCCCCTCCCACATCCAAAACCTACAAACAGTTCCCCAACACTCTGACCCCAGAGCCCTGGAAAGGCCCAGTGGACACAGGACAATTGGGCTTTTGTTGGTTGCCATGGCACCTGTCGGGTGGACAAGGCAGCTCTGTGCTTTGTCTACCCAGAGCTCAGCTTCCCCCACTCCCACACACCCCATCTCATTTACTCTCCTACAATGCAAAGGCCACCTGACCCTCTGCCAGAGGGTAGGAAGGGAAAGAATGTGTGAGCAGCCGGTGCCTGGAGATACACCCAGTCTCACAGTGAGGACCTGAGTCTGACATTGGGGGCCCCATGGTATGGCAGGCTGCCTCTGTTAGGCAGGTCAGGGTCCGCTCCTCAGATCAGTCTCCAACCAGGACATCATCTCAGAAGGAGGGTCCTTTGAGGATGCCACAGGGCTCTGTTCCTTTGTATCACTCCTAAGTGAGGGCTCACCTCAGAGACTGCGAAAGACCTGACTCTGAATGATCAGGGGCCACACACTTGAGGCAGGTGTGCACACTCCTCCCCCAACAGTCCAACGGGGTACCTTACCAATCACCATGGGCCATCAAATCCACTCCTCCAGCCCCCACCAACCTGACTGGTCTGTCTGTCCCCTCTTCCTAATGTCCCAGCGAGGAGCAGGCAGCTGATCACACTCCCTAGGATACCATCCCATCCTCTCCTGGGAGCAACTCACATGGCGTCATCCTGAGTCTCCGCACACAGGTGCAGGCGGGAGCCTTCCCGGAGACTCACAGTCAGCAGCCCATCTCGGCTCCGGCCCTCTGGGGGCTGCACATCTAAAGGCAGACACACAGATAAGGGGTCCCCATGGGGCACAGGCCCCTTGCAACGCATGTGTTCTCGGACAGACACAATGGGAGGGCCGTACCCATAGTCACAGTGCCCGAAAGGAAGGGCTTCTCACCCTGGCACTCTTGGCCGATCTTTATGTTGCGAACATTGGAGCGGATAAGCACACGGTCCTCCTCGTCCTGCGCATTCTCATCGTGGTAGTAGCCCAGGGTCCCATCCAGCCACAGAGCGAACCAGTTCCGTTTCCAGCGGCGAAGGATCGAGCCTGTGAAATATTCCAGACCCGCCAGGCAGGCTGACCGCAGGGCCTGCTGGGGGCCAGAGCCCTGGATGGGCTCCCTGAGTCCCCTGGCCCGTCCCTCGGAGTTGCAACCACCCTTGTCTATCCCCCGAAATGACGACAGGTCCTCTTTCTGTCTTGCTCACCCATTGCCTCCCATTAGGCCTAACACATGGCAGGGGCTCCATAAACATTTTGAATGGCAAGTGAGTGATCTGATTCCTCCCTTGAGGGCTTCCAAGGCTAATCCCCCAAGTCTCTTTAAAGGCAAAGACTTCTCCCTACCCTAAGCCTCTGTCTTAGCTCTTATCTCTGACTTGTGTGATGGTCATTCATGTAGTGTCTGCCTCTTCCATCAGATGGGGGGGGGGGGAGGCAGGGTCCACAGCTGGACCTGGACTCAGTGTTTCCTGAACCAAATGAACTGAGAATAGGTCATGGAGGGGATTAGGGGGCTCCTAGCTCAGAAGAGCTCTTGCTAAGATCATGACTCTGGTCAGAGCGTGGGTCTGGAAGCCCTAGCTCCAGACTTTGTGACTGTCAATCTTAACAGAAAGGGCAAAGACATAAGAGAGCTTCTCAGAGCCTTATGGGTTCCAAAGCACAGGAGCATTTTTCATGTTGTTCTGAGCCTTGTTATGTGACCAGCCATGGGCTGGGGTGGTGTGGACACACAGAGGATCGAAGCCAGTCTCTGCCCTTGAAGAGCTCACAGTCTGGGGCCTGCATGGAGTGGAGGGTGGGGGGAGATGACACCCACAGGTAAAGACAGTTATAGGGAGAGCGATGCTATAATAGGTGTGGATGAGGCACTGGGGATCAGAGAGGTGAGCCTCTAACCCAGTTTGGTGTTGCAGCATGGGCTGGGGTGGGGGTTAGAGGAAAAGTGAGAGAAGGCTCCTCACAGAAGGGGACATCTGAGCTGGGTCTTGAAGAATAAGTAGAAGTTTGCCAGGCAGTCAGGAATAGGAAGGACGTTCCAGGCACAGGGAGAAGCATGGACAAAGGTGGGGAGGATAAAAAGCCTGGTTTTCTCCAGCCACGTGTCTCAGTTGGTTGAGTGTCATCCCGTGCACCCAAAGGTCACCAGTTCAATTCCTGGGGTTCTGGGTTTCATCCAGGTTGGGATGTGTACGGGAGGCAACTGATCGATGTTTTTCACATCAATGTCTGTCTCTATTTCTCTCTCTTCCTCTCCCTTCCTCTCTCCCTCTAATCCAGTGGTTCTCAACCTGTGGGTCGTGACCATCGGAAAACACATATAGCATATCAGGTATTTACATTACGATTCATAACAGTAGCAAAATTACAGTTATGAAGTAGCAACGAAAATAATTTTATGGTTGGGGGTCACCACAACATGAGGAACTGTATTAAAGGGTCGCTGCATTAGGAAGGTTGAGAACCACTGCTAGTAATCAATAAAAAACATATATAATATATATTTTTAATTATTATTATTATTTTTTTTAAAAGGGCCTGATTTCTTGGGAGAAGGGTTCACTGTGGCAGGCCCAATAAGCCACTTTCCTCACTCCTTCCCCTGCACGAGGCTTGGCCAGGGTCACTCACTCTGTCTCCACAGCCAGCCACCCCTCACCAGGGCCATTTCTTCAAAAGGACTTCCCAGGACGGAGTCAGGCGGGACCTGTCAGAGGAGCCACAAGACACACAGGCCTCATCAGCAGTTCCAGAGCAGCTCCGGGGAGAGAAGCCCCCAGCCCTGTCCTCCCTGGGGGAACCACCGAGGGAACAGGGAAGGTTTAAAGGAGTGTCAGTAAACAAACAAGGCAAGCCTGCCTTTCTCCTCCCCACTCTGCTCCCCACTCTGCTCCAGGCAGAGAATGGCAGCACTGTCCTGTGGGGTCAGCAGAGCAGCCACCACTGTGCTGGGGTGGGAGTGGGGTCAGGAGTCTGGATTCCAATCTCAGTTCCATAACCCTGGCCAGGTCCCCTGTTCCTGGCCTTTCTTTCTATACCTGTAGAGGTGTGACTGTGAGGCAGGTAGAGGTTGGAGTGAGTACCTCATAACATGTTAGAAACCCTGGGATTCTGAAATGCTGGCAGCACAGAATATTAGAATCACAGCAAAAAACAAGGGACCTTCGTAATAAGAAAAGCCTCCTCACACTTGAACCTCATCTGAGCCGTTCATAAAGCGCATAAAATAATGGTTCCACAGCAGCTGACTGACTGCGCACTGTGCCAGGCACACGTCTCAGTGCTTTTGTCTATTACCTTATTGAAGTCTCACCACGAACCTTGTTACACCCAGGACACTGGGGCAGGGAGAGGTCCAGTCATTTGTGCAGACCCACTTGACTAGTAAGCAAGGGAGCCAGGACTCACACCCAGCAGTCCTAGCTTCTAACCATTATACCAGCAGGAGCTTTTAAAACTCCAGATGCCCAGGTCATACTCAATTAAAAACTAATTCAGAATGTCTGGGGGTGGGAAGCAAGCACTGATAGTCTTTAAAAGATCCCTAGCCGATTGAACGTGCAGCAAAGTTTGGGAACCACTGCACATACTATACCACCTTACCTTGTCCCAACTGTAACTGTTAGACGAGTAGGATATTTACTCCTATTTTGCAGATCCACAAACGGAGAGATAAATACATTGACTTGTTCATGTACGTGATGGAACTTGGATTGGAATCTAGGTGTACTCTATTCCTAAGGACAACTTACCTGCGATCAGGTGCCTCTGCCCCTCCCCCACTTGCTGCGTAGCAAGGGCTGGCACACCTGGGCTGGCAGGCCCGGCCTTGTCCCTGCTTCTCCTGCCGCTCCCTCCCACCTCCAAGCCCTGACACAGGTAAGACAAGAGGGCCAGGTGCAAGCAAACTCCCTCTCCAGCCTCCCCCGATGCACCCACCTGTCTACACCTGTTGCAGGATGCTGCTGCCAAGACAGCCGCTACTGGATGCTGCTGCCACCCAACCCGCTGCGCCTGCGCTGTGTGCGCCCCAGAGCTACTGGGGCAGATCACTCTCCAGACCACGCCCGGCCCGGGACTCGCTGCCCCTGAGCCCCGCCCTCCGGCCCCGCCTTACCCCCTGGGAGGGGGCGTGGCGTGGAGAGCCGTGCTGTCACAAGGTCTTCTGGGACTTGTAGTCTGCCGCTCTGGAACCCAGCAGTGCGCAACCGCCCCTGGGTGGTGCCCTAGTCTGACCCGGAGCACAGGTGAAAGGCCGCACCTGCGATTTTGTTTTGCTGTTTGTTCACTTACTTATCATGAAATAACTTTTTCTAAGAATCTTGAACTCATTTTCTAGGGGGGAAAAAAAAGTAAAGCTGCAAGGAGAAGCCAGGCTCCTGGTTTTACCATGTTTTCTCAATATTCACACTACGGTGTCGGGTGAATTTCCCGCCAAAATATAAGATGGCGCGTTAAAATGCCTATATCTTTTGAAGTATGGGTTCGATTGAAATGAAATATTTGGTAATACGCAGTTACAATCGGCCCGAGTTTACACGTTTCCCGCACTCCACCGCAAATCTATATGAACCGAGTTTAAGACGGCTCCCGCGGAGTACGCGCAATTCACGCGAGCCGACTTAACTCGTTTCCCGCAACCCAAGTGTTCAGTTTGTACTGGCACTACACTGGGCACTGGCGGAGGACGCAGAGAGGCATCCGACAAGGCCCTTCTCTTTCCCAGCTTCCAGTCTGGCTGGGGAGACAACGTGAACACACCATGAGGGTGTGATTTAACAATGGGGAAGAAGAGCCTGGCTTTGCCCAAGACGTTCGGCAAGGATTCCCAGAGGAGGCCGAGAAGGGTTTTGAAGGACGAGAAGGAAACCTAGGAGACTCATGTGCACACTAACCAAGGAAGTTTAAGAGAGTGTGCGGCACACCAGAGTGGCTCAGTGGGATGAGCTTCCTCCTGTGCACGGAAAGGTTGCGGGTTCCATTTCCCGTTGGGGCACATACCTGGGTTGAGGGTTCGATCCCCAGTTGGGGCACATAGTGAAAGCACACATAGTGATGGCAACCGATGATGTTTCCCTCTCTCTCTCTCTCTAAGCATGTCCTTGGATGAGGATTAAAAAAGAGTGTCCAGCATTTAGCTGCGTTTGGCAAGTAGAGTGCAGGGGTGTGGAGGGCATGGGGAGCGGTAGCCGATGAAGCTGCAGGGGTTGCAAGGATATAACACGAAGGCATTGGATGACCGGGTCAAGGGCTTGGATGTTATGACATAGTGACTGGAGCTAGAGGTTGGGGGTTTCAAGATGAGGAGTTGGGAGGGAGGAGTTGTGGATGGGAAAAGCACCTCTAGGATAGTCAACAATGGACTGAAGGGGACCCAACTGGGGAAAGAGGACTGTTTCTGTATCTACCACCTCAGACTGCCCTTCCAGGATCATTTCCTTGACTAGCTCAGCCACAAACCCCCACCTACAAGCAACACCAAGATGCCATTCAGAGGACAAGACCTGTCAGGGCCTGAGAGGCTCCTGGTCTGATCCCCTATTTGAAAAGGGCACCCACCCTGCCAGTGGGCCCTTCCTCCTATCCCAGAGACTTCTTACCGGGGCTGCAGGGCTCATGTTCCTCGCGGGCCAGAGCAGCATTTCCCAGAAGGCTCCGGCGGGGCGGGGGTGGGAGTAGGGAGTGGGGGGGACATTTCCCTGAGCGCCTTAGAGATAAGGGGATCAGGAAGGTGCTACCAAGTGGGAGCCAGAAAAGGGGGGGGGGGCGAGGAATGGAAGCACACAGACCCTAGAGAAAGTCATCTCTCTTCAGTCCCTTCCCCAACCTTCCGGACTGATCTAGGCCTCAGACCTTCATTTCGCTGGATAGCAAACTAGTTATGGATGATTCGGAGGCCGTCTTGGGCTACCATCCCCATAATTTCCCTGGGAGGGAGGGGGGCGGTTCTCCTCCCTCGATCGGGGCGGGGCTACATTTTCTTTCCCAGTCTCGGTTGCACCGCCTGGCCCTTTAAAGCTTCCTTCCCTCATTCCTGGGTTTCTGTAATCCTGACCCCAAGCTACCCAGGCGCTTGCTTCGGCCCTTCGTGCGGTGCGTGCCTTGCTGGAGGATTCGCCATGGCCGATCCTATTAGCCACTGAGCTCATCCCCTCCGTGCAGCCCCAGTTTCCACCTCCCCCAAACCACGCTGTTCTCTACCTTGTGCCTTTCTGTCCCTGGAATGTCCTACCTTCTCCAAGCTAAAATTTCTGCCCTTATAGCAGAAGGACAGAAGGATAGAAGAAAGGAACAGAGGGAAGTAGGGATCCAGACCCCCACCTCAGCTCTCTCTGCTGCCCTCCCTGAAGGGGTGATGGGGGGAACCGTGCAGACAACTCTAGATTACTTTCTCTGGGTTTAGCAACCAGATGAGAAGGAAAGCTTCTACAGCAGCAGTGTGGCATTCAAGGGGAAGGCTCCCCCGTCATCCTCCCAAAGAGGGGGTTTTCTGACAGAACAAGGGGGAGAAGGATGCTTTGCAAACTAAAACTACAGATGCTGCTGCAGAATCGAAATGCAGCTGGACCTGGCATAGGTCTCTAAAATGTTGGTCAATGACCTTCTTTGAGATGCTAATAAAAGGTGTAGACTCTGCCCAGGAAAAAAAAAATGCACACACGTCACATTTTGCATGTAATTCCTGAGAGGTCATAGACTCCGGAAGCCTGATGAGTACTGTTGAGACTGTTTTTAGTTCCCAAAGCTGTGTAGACTGATGGGAAGAATGTGACTGACAAGTGAGAGGCACTGAGAGCATAACAGGAATCCCGGCTCCCGCCGTCCTGGCTTTGAGAGACTGTTTAAATCAACTAAAATTTATTGAGACCAACAAGCCAACAGTAACTTTCATGTTTCTCTTGTAACTGGGGTATATAGTACTATTGACAGAGAGAAAAGTATTTTGCTATTTCAAATGCCTGTGGTGGATGAATAGCTCACAGTTATATACTGTTTAGAGAATAGTAAACTGGTTCATCAAATTAAAATTCACTAATATTTTCTAGAGCGTATATATACTAGTAATGAGAATAATTAATACCATTTCTTTTTTTGTTGTTGTTAAATCCTCACCCAAGGATATTTTTTCCCATTGATTTTTAGAGAGAGTGGAAGGAGAGGGAGAGACAGAGAGAGAAACATCGATGAGACACATTGATTGAATGCCTCCCACAGGAACCCCCAACCAGGGCCAGGGATTGAGCCTGCAACCAAGGTACATACCCTTGACCAGAATCAAACCTGAGACCTTTCAGTCCACAGGCCGATGCTCTATCCACTGAGCAAAACCGGCTAGGACAATACTATTTCTTTTTGCCAAAAAAAATCCTGCAATGTGAGCAAAAGAAAAGCCACTTATGTAAAAGTTTTTAATAATAATTTATTGATATAACTTACCCCAAAATTCACTGTTTTACAGTGTACAGTTCAGTGTTCTATATATGCACAGGATGGTGCAACCATCACTACTATCTAATTTCAGAACATTTTCATCACCCAAAAAAGAAATTCTATACCCTTTAGCAGTCACTCTTTCCTTGTGGCAATCCTCCTTCCTTCCAGTCCCTGGCAACCACAAATCTACTTCCTGTGTGTGGATTTGCCTACTGTGGTCATTTCTTACAAGTGAAATCATACAATATGGGGCCTTTTGTAAACTGACTTCTTTCACTTAACATAATGTTTTCAAGGTTCATCCATGTTGTAGCATGTATCAACACTTCATTCCTTTTTCTTGATGAATACTATTCCATTATATGGATATCCCATGTTTTATTTATTAATTTATTAGTTAATGGACATCTGAGTGGTTTCCACTTTCTAGCTATTATGAATAATGCTGCTATTAATATTTGTGTACAAGTTTTTGCATGGATATATGTTTTCAGTTCTCTTGGTTGTAATATTTCTGGGTCATATGGTAACTGTATGTTTAACATTCTGAAAAACCATCAAACTATTTTCCAAAGTGGCTATGTCATTTTACATTCCCACTAGCAACCTATGAGAGTTCCAATTTTTCCACAATCCTTGTTATTGTCTGTCTTTCTTATTATAGCCCTCCTAGTAGGTGAAAATGATCTCACTGTGGTTTTGAGTTTTAATTTCTCTAATGCCCAATGATATTGAGCATCTTTTCATGTGATTATTAGCCATTTGTCTATCTTCTTTGGAGAAAATGTTTATTCTAATCTGTCTACTTTTTAGTTGGATATTTTTAAAATATTTTTTTAATTGATTTTTAGAGAGAGAGGTAGGGAGAGGGAGAAGGGAAAGAGAAATATCAATAAGAGAGAAACACCAACCGGCTGTCTCCTGCACGCCCCCTTCTAGGGATCAAGCCTGCAACTCCAGCATGTGCCCTGATGGAATTGAACCAGCGACCTCCCGGCATATGAGTCAATGCTCAACCATTGAGCAACACCAGCCGGGCTGGATTATTTATTTTTTAATGTTGAGTTGTAGAAAGATTTTTAAACTAAAATATGTAAATAATTGAAGGGGAAAATAAATGAAATGGTGTAAGGTCCTTGCGGTGTTTCAGGAGTTTGAATAGGAGAGAGGGCTATGTGGAGGCTTAGTGAACCCAGAAGATAACATACTTACATTTCCTGGATGGGAGTGTCCAGAAAAGAATCTCCACCCATGAGGGAGGATGAGGAGGACAACAACCTCTTGGTGGAAAGCCTTTTCAGAGGGGTGCATCCGTGCTCCTTGGAGCAGAAGAAGTTAGTTTTATGTGTCAACCTGGCTGGGCTATAGTACCTAGTTATTCCATCAAACGCTAATCTAGGTGTTGCTGTGGAGGTATTTTGTATGTCGTTAACCTCTACAATCCGTT